CCCCCCCCCCCCCCCCCCCCCCCCCCCCCCCCCCCCCCCCCCCCCCCCCCCCCCCCCCCCCCCCCCCCCCCCCCACCGGAATTTTTCTCTCAGAATTATTCAAAACGTATATAAATTGACTCAGTTTTTGCAGTACACGCAATAATTGGATGCGAATCTGATGTTTCCTCATTTATTTGGTTTTACTTCTATTCTTACATTCTCATTTGCACACAAAAGAATACAAAATGTTGTTTTTGCTGAGTACTTATAACACTAAAAAAAGGTTAGCTGCATTCATTTTGAGTTGATTTCGATGACTTGTTAAATTTTCTATGAAGATTTGGCGTTAATTTTATTCCATTATTATCATAAATAAAGTTAGACGAAAGAAAGATCAAAGAACAAATGCATATGAAAGTCAGGTATGCCAAAACTTGACCTATTTTGACCTTTGCTGTAGGCTTTTCTCAGCAAATGAAATATGTATAGCTATAGCATATTCTATTTTATTTATTCCACTTTGGATGAATAATACTCTATTGAGAAAATACGCAAATGATTAAGGATTATCATGTTTGTAATCTGTGAATCATTATATAATTGATTGTACACAGTTTTTCTGATAATTGTTTTCGTGTTACTGAAACAATACATGATTTTGTTTTTTGAGGAAATCAAACCAACTCCAAGATTTTTCATAAGCGATGAACCACTATGAAAACTAATTTATATACAAATAAAAAAATTCCTGTACACTCGAATATATCTAATTATATGAGTTTTAGTCATTTGTATTAACGTGTCAAATTATGAAATATTCAATTATATTTCCTCTTGTTGTAATATTAGAACACAAAGAATAATATGGCATAGAGCCTTTCGAACTTGTGTAATGAAAATTTTCTATTACAATTAATAATCATATTTGAGATTAAAAAATATCTACGAACAACAAAGATATAGTTCCTGTGAAGCTGTATTTTAGACGTGCTGTGAGTTATTGATCAATGAAACTATCTATATTCGAAAAGAATAATGAGCCGTGAGTTGAAACTCATAATGACATCCTTTACCGGAAAACAAAATTTCATATATATTTAGCTAATTATACACTCATTATTCTTTGCATAGTTTGACTTATAATTGCACTCGAAGCTGCGGAATTACATATATATGAAAAATGCAGCAACGGCAATATTTAAGTGTGATTTGTTGAAGTGATAGTTTACAAATTACTTGAATTAATCAAATATAATACTGTTCTATTGGTGGATTCGAAAATTTGAATATTTTGCATTCTTCTATGCATATCGCTTTGTCATTCGAGAAGATGTAATTCAATATTATTTTATTGGAACAGTTCACACGAGTACATGAACTCTACGTTTAGTTCAAGATCGAATTCCTGTTTTGCATATAAATTAATATTCATCGATGTGCACATATTTCACTATTTATTAATGATACTTTTAATTATTAGAATAAAAATGTAGATTGTTCGTACTCGTTTTCACTCTCACCATCACCAATATGATTTTCGAATTCCTCATGAAAAAACGAGTTTAGCAGCAATATTATATATATAATATTGCTGCTAAACTCGTTTTTTCATGAGGAATTCGAAAATCATATTGGTGAGAATGAAAAATGTAACATTAGAGAAATAGACGCTATTCGTTGTAAAACAAATTTTTTTGCTGATTTTTAGACCCTCTTAGTATCTTGCATTTTTCTCCACGAATGTTTTGTCAAACCGGAAAACTTAGTAGATATTCGTGATCAGCGTAAAAATGGGGATCTAATAATGCATGCTTAAGCAAAAAATAAGAGGTGCTATAATTTTGAATTACCCACACTTTATTTTACGAGTTCATGATTTTATTTCCAGATCAATACCGACTTCACGCCAAAAAGTTCAAGAGCCAACTGCTTGTGTTCACTAAATTAGTCGGCCTCATTCTCATATAAAACTAGAAAGCGAAATAAACTGAATGTCATCATTCAAAACATGACCTGCTGTGCGACATGTCGACATGTTCATTAACGCCATACAACGGGATGATAGTAGAAAGCTTTTATTACGATAGATCATCCAAAAATAATTGTCGATTATGGAAATAGGTGACAATCGTTTTCATTTGTCGGATCATATTTAAACTTCAAATATTTAAAAATAGTAGAAGCATGTTGAAATGTTAACAAAAAACCTTTTTTAATTCAATTTAGCTGGATGTGGGTGTCATACTTTTCTTTTTCGATAGCATAGCCTGATCTTTAAATATTATCGATAATAGATGTGTTGACTTATTCTAGGCCTTGTTTTGAGCTTGGAATCTCTAATATACGTACATAGAGATAGTAATACGCTCTAGTCATGTTTGTACTATTTTAACATGTCATGGTATGTTTTGAACAAAATTGCGATTATAAAAAACAACTGTACAAAACGGAATTGACTTAGTCAGAAAAAAAGCGTACTTCAATGCCACTGCACTCTTTAGCTTTATTGATCACGTGTTTCGATCAACGAGATTATTGTTTATATGTATTTGCTTGCCTATTGCATACGTCTACAACTAAAATATATGTAGGTCAAAATCAAAACTCAACTTATTTCACAAAATAAGGATAGCTGAAAAATAATATTCCTGGAATAAATTGATCTCTGCTAATCCTTCTCTATCTAAATGAAATGAGGATCGTATATCATCGGACATGCTTATGTTTCTACAACAATAATATGCTATATTAAATCCCTGGATAATGTCATAATGACATAGTTCCTATGATAAAGCCAAGATAAATTCCACATAAAGTATATAATTAAAATTTTTTTTAATTCGTTCTTGTTTTTGTAAAAATTCTTCAGAGGATGTGTAATTTAGAATTAAATAATCATCGGTTAAGCAATATTAGAAGACGAAGGATTTACAATATTAAAATAAACATTTAAAAACAAGAAAACAAACAATAGTGTGCATAAGTAGAGAGAACAAAAACTATTCCCATCAACAACAGTATTTTTTTGTCGATGGAAGCATTGAATTGTTTGTAGACAAGAATTAGCTGATACAAAATTTTTCCATGAAAAAGCAAACAAACAAATAGACAGTCACTGACTGAATATGGCCATATACTATAATCAACATTTTTTGTACACAGATAAATTGAGAACTAAATTTCTGTTTGGTTGATTTAAAAATCAACAAATAAATCTAGTTCTTTATCCGATGCAAATGGTGCTGATCGCCAATCTTCTGGATATTGATCAAAACATGATGTGTCACCTGGATGTTTTACTGCTGGTATTATGGGTGGCTTTGATTTTCTTGCATAAATATCATCCCATCTAATAGATGCAAATATGGGTTGTTCCTTTATTTCACGCGAACCATTTCGACCAGCTCCAAGACGTTTGTCAGGATTTTGAATAAGCAATTTTTTAATAAATGCTTTTGTTGGTTCATCTATTGTACGTGGCCATGTTATTCTACCAGCGAGAACCCGACTGGGAATTTCACTTTCATTTTGATTTGGATTAAAGGGTGTTCCTAAGAGTCAAAATAGAACATTGACTATTTGAATTATAACACAAGAGTAATTTTATACCTCCGGTTAACATTTCAAATAATAATATTCCTAGACTCCACCAATCCGTACTTTTATTGTGTCCTGTATTCTTGAATAATTCCGGACTTAAATAATCAGGCGTACCACATGTAGTAAATGTTTTATTTAAAATTTTTTTTGCAAAACCTAATTATTTAATACAAATAAAAATGAATTATTATTCATTTTCTTCTAGTTTAATATTTTCTTTTACCAAAATCAACAACTTTAGTATGACCTTCGGCATCAAGAAGAATATTTTCAGGCTTCAAGTCGCCTATTGAAAAATCATCAATGAGAAATAAATTTTTTTATTAATTTAATTAACTTACGATAAATAATTTGCAATGAATGTAGATATTCAAATGCAAGTATTATTTCACATATATAAAATAATGATGTTTTCAAATCAAATGTACCTTGTCGTCTCATATATGAAAATAATTCACCTCCCGGTAAATAATCGAAAAGCATATAAAGAAATTGATCCGAATGATGTGTCCAATAAAGTCGAACAATAAATGGATGTTTAATCGCTGATAAAATTTCTCTTTCACTTTTCACATGTTCAGTCTGATGTAAAAAGAAAAAGAAAAACATCAATCAATTACATTGTGTCAACGAGCTCAAGTCGATTTTTTTTTACTTGTCGAGAATGTACAACGTGAGTAATAGAAAATATTTTTAATGCATAATAAGTTGACGTTTCACGATCTCTCACAACAAGCACATGACCGTAAGAACCTGTACCAACCTAATAGAATGAAAAATTTATTTGATTATCTTGAATTAATATTATTCTTTTTCTATAAAAGCATCTAGTTATCTAAGTTAAAAACTAAAATTAAACACCTAGGACAATCAGTCTTTTTCATGAATTTTCCTACGATGACGAAGATCATTATTTTATAGAATTCTGTAATGATACACTGGAAATGTTCTAAATTCAGAAAGTAAACAAAAATAAAATTCATTTTATTTGCATATTAATGAATAGCATACATCTGAAATTCCATTATCTCTAAATAATATATATATGTGTGTGTGTGTTTCAGAATAATCTTCTTTTTTTTTCTTAAAAATATCCTGTCCTAAAGGACAGACGTCGCAATTTCTCCCACTCAAAAGCGAATCTAAGTAAAAATTATATTCTCTTCCTTTCATCAGCTCTACACTCATTTACATAATTAGATACAATTTCAAGAAAAATTAATGCTCGACGAAATATATTTTATTATATACTTCAATCTCTCATAATTCAACAATCAATAGAATGCTTCTACAGACAAAAATTATGTTCAATTCATCAAGACAATCAAGAATGAGGACGCAAATATTTAGTTTGCTTTTCATATACTTTATTATCTTCCATCCCAAAAAAAGAAACTCAAGTGTTTTACTCAATCGATTTGCGTAAGACCAACACGTTGTGAAATACAAAAACAAAAAGCGAGTGTGTCTACAGCTAAAAATATCAAATTGTTCTCGAAAGATTATTTCACGTTTCTCTTAAGAAAATAAAGATAATGGGATAAAATTAGAAAAGCAACCATTGAAGTTTTATTCGGGTAAACCTTCTTACCGTTTTAAGCATTTCTAATCGATCAAGTGCATGTTGTTTTTCTTCACGTTCAGTCAAACTTAGACTGCTCATTTTTTTTGCAATTAAAACCGTATCGCTTTCGCCAGTTGCATGAGTACTTAATCGTGGCGATCCCGTCGTACGACTTGATATACTTGCCGCTGAACTGACGTGATGAACTGATAATCTTGCTGATGTCATTTTTTGACGAGTAATTTAACTAAATATGTTAAAGAAGAATAAAAAGGTCATACGGATAAGTTTATTAATCTTTTTTCTTTAACGCAGCTATCGATATTATTCTATAGATTGCGCATTTATCTCAGGAAATTAAGACGTTTCTCATAAGACCTATAGTTGAAGACGATAGTAATGGAACCGAAATTCCTTCTCTTCCTTCCGCTACTGTCGTCGTTGTGAAAACTGTAATGTGTCACTGTGTTCCATTTGTATGTGACTATGAATAAAAAAAAAAGAAACGTTGCGTCTTTCTTACACGAGCTCGTATGAAAAGCGATAGAGATCAAAGTAGAGATAGATGATGCTGTGTGAAATAAAATTTAAGAAAAATAAAATAAAATTCTAAAAAGACTTTTTTCATTCGCAGGTGACGTCAATCGCACTACTTCAGTTATTTGGTGGACATTAACAACAATTGAAAAAACATCGTTTACTGTTCTCTGTTTTGAAGTAGCATATTCGAAAATTCTACGTTTGAAATCATAAACATACAGTATTTGGCATACTTAAATTATATGGTCTTACTCGATTGTTTTTCTAAGTGTTCGTTGCAATAACGTCTCAGAAGAAGAAAAAAAGGCTAACGTTATGTCTCATACAGAAAAGCATATTACTTTAAGTACACTGAACTAGTAATCGTAAATCTTTCTCTATTACTATATACGGTGATGTGACACGTCCTAATCATACAATGAGGTATGTTTCACAAGAAAAGTAATTTATTCTACTTTTATTCATGCATGCAAAAATCTGCCAATCTAGCCTACGCGATAATCCCATAAGTTACCTACTCTGCATGTTTCTATGTATTTATGTGCGTGAAATGGCAGAAGACAATAATTTCTGTTACTCACGTATTGACTCAACGAAGAACAACATTGTGAGCATGTAGCCTGTTGATTTCTTCTTCTTTTTTTTTTCTACTGTTTTTTTTTCATATACTGCTCACTTCACTTTCTCCATGCTTTTTCGCCTTCATATGAAGTTATTGTCTGTTCGCAGAGCAAAAGTAAAGAAAGGAAGTATATGAATGATTAAAAGAAATAGTTTTCTTGTTTATTTTCAGCACTGAAATTTTACGCTAACGATTGATTTGACTGAAATCAGAATAATAAAAAATTAATTGAGAAAAGATAAACTTATAGAAAGCGCTCTACTATTTTAAAAAATACAACAAAAATCCTACATACGGGTGGGACACGAAAAAAAGAAATTTTGCTTCGACGATTGATCACGATACTAAATACAAACCATTTTTTTGTTTGGTTGAGTAAATAAAGAGAATGTTTTTTGAAAAATTTTAAAATGCACACCGATAACGATGACTAACAAAATACAAAATTAAAAGCATTCATTTAAAGGTTGTATAAAGTACAAAAAAACATCGATTTACAGTCAATACACATTTTTCTTTTTTTTTTTTGTGTAATAATATTTATTCTTCACTAAAGTATTGTTTTTCAAGATGAACTAGACGTTTTATGTTTCGAAAACATGTTCGAGCAAATAATTGACTGAAAGCTAAAAAGTTGAAGTTGATGTATTTCAACGAATGCTTTTTTCTTGATCTGTTTCGTAACGATGCTTTAATTAGAAAAAAATGAATTGATGATGTTCATTTCTCATAATATGCAAAAAATAGAAATTAATAATCATCTCTGATTTACGTCAGAGAATTGAACATGAACTTTTTGCATGAAATGTGTCAAGGATTTTGCACCATGAAATTGACAGAAGGTATTAAAAGGAAAAGAACAGATTTTTATGGCAATAATTTCAAGTGAAAATTATTTTTTTATTTGTCTTGCTAAAATTAAAAGCACAGCAGAAATTCTATTTAAAGCTCTTTAATCCTATTCTAAATCGTTCGAAATCAATAAAGAAATCATACGATTATGTCACGTATGCATTTAGATCTGCGTGTTTTGTATTTAGACCACTAATCGAATGGCGTTTTTTTTCTCTATATGATCAACTTATCATTCTAAAAAACAAAACTTTACTGCTAAGCCATATTTAGATCAAACATAAAATATCAATCATCGATACATATTTACATTTATTGTTTTTTTGAAAATTTCTGATCATCATTAGCTATTTGCGCATCATATCGAACTATCTTTAACTTAAATGTCATAAGAATCTAGCTTCTGGAGTGATAGTCATATAAATCTTCTTGGATTAGTATCAACATTTTGTTTTTTTGATTGATGAGCGTTCTATTTGATATAACTACTGAACATAAAGGCAAGATGAAAAAGTAGAAAGACTGATGCAACCAGGGACGGCGCGAAGCAGCAAAAATATAGGGGGCTTACTTGAAAACGGGAGGTTTTTTTTCAAAAATCGGACTAAATCAATAAAAATCTCTTCTCTTTTTTTCAAAAATCGGAGTAAATTAATAAAAATTTCTTCTATTTTCTTCAAATCGGAGTAAAATTGAAACAAAAATTTTCAAAGTTGGGGGGGCCCCCCCCCCCCCACCCCCGCTCGCGCCGTCCATGGATGCAACAACAATACATACATATTACCCACAGATTTTCATTTTAATTAGCACTACATTTTACAGCTCAATTATTAAACTAAAATGCTATTTTTATGACGCTAATTTCCGCCTGTACGATTATTAAACGCATATGTTCGCTTCATTTAACTTTTTTTCTTTTACAAATGCTTTCTTTCTAGAAAATTTATAGTACAGCCACACTAATAATAATTACCCTGAACAAAAAGGAAACAGTTATATTCGCATCAGAAAACATAGTATAAGATTTTCACCAATAAATATATGTTTGATCACATAAATTTACATCTTTTATTCTCTATTAATCATAAAATCAATAAAAAGTGCCCAAGTTCTCAGCCTACGTTGGAGTAGAAGAGCCATAATATTGCTTCCAATATATACAGTTCATTTTCCGGTAATTGTTTTACGGTCGCCGAAAGATTATATGCATACATAGTAAATATTTATATTTTGTGAAACACGACCTGAAAGGAGTGTTGAAATGTTTAGGGTAGAAATTTTACACCCATCCCCCCTGTCACGTCGTTATTTTAGCGATTAAGATTTAGATGAAGATGCGACTGTTTAAGTATTGGCAAATGCCACAATGATAATGACGATAAATGGCAAGATTAAGTAAATAAGAAAATGAAACTTGAATGAAAATTCACTAATTTATTTAATAGATTAGAATTAATCTATGAAACAGTAGATACAACAAGGATTTGTTGTACGATTTGACAAGACTTCCAGAAGAAGAAAAAAAGAAAAAGAAGTTGATTATAATAGAACCAACTAATAGAGAAGAAAAAGTAGCAACCTAATGAAAGGAAAGATACAGTAAAAGTAAAAACGCGGGTAGTAGCTAGACAATAAGAATTTAAAAAGCTGTTAGCGCAATTCCTGTAGGATTAAAATGTGAAACACGATGAACCTTCTTTTCTGGAATTCCTCTATCGCGGCCACTGATGGTCTGTGGAGCTTCTCTGTTACGGTCTATACTATGATGTATGGAGTCTCTAGAAACCATTACAGAGCGTTTAGAGGCCTCAGAAGCCACCACATACCGTTACAGAGAATTCAGAAACCATCACAGACCGTTACAGAGAAATTTTAATAATTAATTAATTAACCGATTAGCTGATTAATTAATTTCTCTGTAACGATCTGTGCGGGGGGGGGGGGGGGGGGGGGGGGGCGGGGGGCATGGATCCAAATTGCTACCTTATATACTTCAGCACTCTTTTCAGATCGTTTTTCACAAAATTATATTGAGAAAATATATGTACAAGCATAATTAGCATCACCATATAATACAGGTGACGTTATGCCGTCCCGCCCCCCCCCCCCCCCCCCCCCCCCCCCCCACAGACCGTCACCGACAGGTAATCATCTGTCGGTAACGACCTGTGATGGGTACATTTTCCCCATAGCAGATCATTACAGTGAGGTGATTTACTCATCACAGATCGTTACAGACAGGTGATTTATCCATCAGAGAGCGTTACAGAGGTGCTTTCTCGAAGTCGAACGGACAGCAATATTGAGGTGTTAAAGGTACACAATTGAATTCCTGCCACATATATTTTAATTGATGAATTAGCTAATTACGGTATAATTAGTTAATTACCTATAACAGACCCTAACAGATAGGCGTTGGAACCATCACAAACGGGTTAGAAAATTCAGGTGGATAGAGAGGAGCACTTATGATATAGTTTGATGAATAGTAGTGGACATCTTCGTACGGTCAAGGAACACAATGCTACAATATCAGCAAATTTATGACCTAGTTGCATTTTTCACTTGTAGGCGGTGCATTAAAGTACAATGAAAGAAAAAGTTCAGAAATATATAGAATAATTTGTTGTTCTGGTCAGAATTAATATTTATATTGTGTTTCACATTTTAATCCCGAAGGGATTGCGCTAACAGCTTTTTCATAAAATATTCATATGTGACAGAATTATGTGCATTTACTACCATATTTTGCTTTGATATTTCGTAGTGACAGCGGTAGCTGTTATAGCATCGCTTGTACGGCTAATTGTTTACAAGATGAAATATGTTCATTTAATAATATATGCATATGTCCATCATGCTTCATGGGCAATAGGTGTGAGGCAAGTACTAACGTCGTACAATTTCCATTGACATTTGCAATCCAATGGGATATTGAAACGGCTGACGTCAATTTAAATTTTAATATACCAGAATTTATCTATACATTTGCCGTGGCTGCAATGCTAGTTATGGCTTTAACGAACAACATAGCATGTTCGCAAACTTTTATGAAACATGATATACGTTAGATCAATTAACACAATCATATTCTTATCGATATGCAGCGTGTAATGTAATTCCTGTTATTGTTATTATTATGGTCGACATATGTATGTGGGTAAGTTCAGCATTAATAGCAGAATGTGTTTTATTGGAATGTTTTAATTTTAGTCGGTATCGATCGCGAAGATTCGCTGTTATATCATCAATTAGCGGTACTATATTAACAATTGGTACACATTTTCATGAAATAATCGCTCGACGTCCATTACCTGATCCTATTCGTGCTTAATTATATTCCTGTACATTTGCTTTTTTCATTACCATTAGATATCATTCATAAAACTCTTCGTGTATGCCATGTTATTCTACCATTAACCGTACATTTTCTTGGTAGTATTTTAATGATTGTCAATATAACACGGCGCACGTTACTTGTTCATAGTCGTGATGATTTTTTTCAAGTATTCATCGAAAAAAGTATAAAACGTAAACATTGCTTTGTTCCGCCGTTTTTAACCATATTATCAAATTTTCCTCATTTAATTCTTCATCTAAAAGATGAATGTGAAAATGCTCGAAATATAAATATTTTACGATTGCATGTTGCCTTTAATATTCTTATTTGTCTACTACCATCAATTACATTTTTCATCTATATTTTTCCATCCTAAAGTTAGATGCATCAATTCAATACAACACCTATGGAACGTTGGTTAAAGCGAGTATATAACTGTAATTACAAGAAAAGCATTCATCAAATTAGTATTCAACCAAGAGTAATATCTAAAAAAGCAGTTTTTTCAAATTTATCGTTTTCATCACGCATAACTGAAAAATGATATTTTATGCCAATAAAGAAAAATATATTAGTTCCTGTTCTCTAGGAAACAGAGATAGAAGAGAAAGCTATTTTCATTGAAGAAAAAAGACGGTGACATAACACACTATGCGGTAGCATCTACTTGGTTCGAAGTGCTTTCCAACGTATTCACAAAGGTAGAACAAACATTTAATCTACAATGAGTTGAGTAGGTCGTGCTGTCTTCCATCAGTATCATAGAAACTTCTACATTCAACTATTGAATGGACGTTAGAAAAATCTTTTTCTAATGAGCTCTTTTTTTTTATCTAATTGAAGATTAGTCAAGAAACCGTCAAATTATAATAGAGTTTTAAACCTTTAACAATTGATTGTGATTAATTTAAGAGGAAATTTTATAAATGCTTCGTGTTATGATAATTATACATAATAATAGGATTCATCTAATTTTCTTTTCTTCCGTTTTCCACCTAGTTGTATCTCCTATAGTTTTCCTGTATCGTATATATATATATATAAGGTGCATGAAATAATATAAAAGTTTCATTGTAACTAGATTTTCTTCTTCTTTTTCTTGTTTCAACAATTAGGACGTTTATTTCTCTATAAGATAGTTTTCCTTTTTTTTTGTTTTGCGTTTTCACAATGCATCCCTATAGACATGTATTCAAACAATTCATTCTTTTTTCCAATCAAAATCGAAAAGGTTCGAATATTGCCTTTGATCCTCAGAGATAATATTAAAAAATGCCCACGTCATAGGAGATTTTAGATCTTACATTCTCTTTTATTCTTTTTCTTCTTCGCGCATCTATAAAAGAATTTTAATCTTAAGGCAATGAATTTTTTATTGCAATTTGATATACTATTACATATATGAAACAGACGATAATATGATATAATTAGAAGTGAAATGTTCTCACTTTTCTATTAAAATGCAATCATCACGCAGGCATAGCATTAAAGAAATGTTCTCTTTCACATTTTTTAGATATTCTATTTTCAATGATATTTTCTATTCGAGTGCATCTGACGAATACAAACATATTTTTGTACTTTCTGTTAATTTAATTATTTCTTTTCTCTGATATCGGCATAAAAAGGTCGTATTTAACATCGTCTGTCACCTACAAAACATAAGACCTTCGACAAAAATAATAACATGTTTTCGAGAACAAATGCATCATCATTAATGCCACCAAGCAGCGATGACAAAAAAGGTTCTTACAAACAATATCTATTACCTGAAAACATTTTATATGATTCTCATTATGGCTCAACACCCAATATTGCTTTTTATTTGGAGAATGAGGTATTTATAAAAATCGAAATATATACTTCTATATGACGTAGAAAAAAAAAGAAATATTTGCATTCCTTTTCTACTCATTTATCGCGCATAAAGCAGGAAATAAAAACGGATGATAATTGACTAGAATAATAAACAGGCGATTATTGCTTGTAAAGAATGATCAAATATAGTTTTCTATTGTCTTTTTTTTTTTTATAACTCATCAATTCTACTAAGAGATATAACAATCATTCGAGATCGTATAGTAAGATACCAATTTGTGAAGTTTATCTAGTTGAACGAACTAAAAATTAGCGTTACCTCTCGTGACTACAATTCGATTATATCAATTATTAAAAATTCATCTAGTTAAATCCAATTCTCCCGACAATTAAGACAACAACGCGATGCGTATATATGAAAATTACGAATGAAAATAAAGAAAAAAAACATTTATTGATTAATCTTTTTTCTATCATAATAATTTCCTGAATCTTTGTTATTTTAATAATCTTGTCATGGAGTGAATCAATAAGTAGAAATACTTATTCAATTGAGAAACTAAAGAAACGCAACGTTGCTATGTTAAGTGTTTTCTCGTACATGATATTACAGTTGAATAAATATTACGGAAATAAAAAGATAGTGACATTTTAGTTTTAGAGAGAAAAAGAAAATGCCGAAATCGATTGGTTCAAGTACTCATTGAACTAGATTGTAATTCGATATGAATAGCTGTCATTCATGTCGGCGTAGGCAATCGAAATATATTGCTTCGCGAACGGCTGACATTATTGTCACAATCAATTTATTTTTGATCAATAGGAAAAAACGAGCGTATTTATTTTTCCGATCTATAAAATCTGTAAGTACAGGTTTATAGGCGTGTGTAGAAGTTTCTTCCAGCTCTCGTCAAAGACACAAGTTTTTTTTTGCTCTCGCGATTAAACATTTATAGTTGCAGCAATAATAGAATAAGAAGTTTATCACCAAAAAGAAAAGAAATTGAAATAAAATACTTTTATGCACGAACGATGGCGTGTTTTTTCTCAATAGTTACTTGTCAATTGTAATAACTCTTTATTATGATCTATTTTAGAAAGATTCTATAGCTAAGAATATCTTGTAATAGAAGAAGAAAAAGCTTAATGAATAAAAAGAATCTTAGATGATTAATGTAACGCAGAATATAAAGACGTCATGCCAAGATCAAAACATATCCGCCTCCATAAAAAATTGACACTTATGAATATATCTATATGCATCGTTCAATTTGTTTTAACTGATTACTATTACTGCAAGTGAGATTGTGTGAAATACCCTAGAAAAAGAAAAGAATTATCTATTCGATAAGGCAAGAGAAAAAGAAAACTACGAGGAAAAAATATGGAAAAAATGATTAGGTCTCTTTTCCCGTTGCTCTCATGTGTTCTCCCTCCTCTTACATTAAATTTTCTATTCCACACTAGCATAAAAAGAATAACAGCCGAGGACATAAACAGCAGAACAAAAAAAGGAAAATTCATAAATGTGTAGAGCAAGATACTATAAATGAGTTTTTTCTCTTTGATTTAACAACCTTGTTTCTTAACACGCACTTCAATTCATTTCATCAGCAACAACTTATAACAACAGCAGCAGCAGCAGTAGCAACCACAATAGTTTATAAAACAAAAAAGAGTAAACATGGATCAAAGAAGATTATCTGTTTGCGCTAACTTTGTTGGTTATACAGACTATTCAGGAGTATGTAATCAATCTAATGTAAGTTGCTCTCGATTTTAAAAGTATAACCTTTCTAAAATAATTGCTCACTTGATGACATAGTGAATTAAGTTTATTAAAATAGCAGATTCGATATTAAGTTTTTTCTTGCTGAACAAATATTATATTGTTTACTTGCCAATAATATTTGAAAAAAGTTATTTCTATCTTCGTCAATAAAACCTAGATCCTTTATGCTTGCTCTTGAAAAATTTTAACGCTTTCATAGCCCTAGAGAAAAACAACAAGCTAGCCTTAATCGTCGAACAAAATTTAGTTCTTCTGTCATAGCGACAGACGCATACAAGATGAGGCTAACATATGCAATATTTATTACGATGAAAATATTTTTGAACGTCATGCGAGTTACACGCAAAAAGAAAACGTCACTCACATATGTAAAATATACGTTCAACCTATTTCCTTTCCGATTTATTTCGAAAATTAATAATGATGAAAAAGGAAAAAAAATGACAAGAAATTAATCCGTGATATTCGATCTAGTGAGAATATGATTTAAACATGTTTATCTAAGGAGAAAAAAATAATGCGTCAGTCTACGTGACAAATTTGATACATTTATTAATTAATTATTCAGATTGAACAACGACGTGTATCGGATGTTGGTCCATCACTTCGATTACCAAATGCTGATTTATTCTATCCAGGTGAATTGGGTCGAGATAAACCGTTTGCATTAAAGCAGAAAAATTCATCGCTGACTGTGCTTTTGGACTCGACAAGTTCAATCATGCGCACAGCTTCAACAACATTTCATTGTTTTATTGGTTCGGCACGTCGTGCTTCATATTGCGGTCAAACAGATCCATCTATTCAACTAGATCCACATGGAAATAGTGGTTCACTTTATTTACTCCCTACGAGGACTAATTCTAATGAGTCATCTTTATCCAATGCATCATATGAAGAACAAAGACGTACGGTAACTATTTATGATGGCCGAATACCAGCTGCAGCATCGACACCCACAATTCCATTTGAACTTATGGCGCCCATTGATCTTATAACTCAAACAGTTGACGATCCCGTTGAATCTTTCGTTCAAATTGTACTAGAAGAGCCCGATGATCGACCACCGATAATGCGTCCTTCATTATCATCATCACGTAGAAATTCAGGAAGTCGACATCGACATCGTTATCATCGAAGTAGTTCACCGAAATCGTCATTAATAAATGGTCGATTATCAACATCAGAAACTCAATTAAATAACGATACACAACCATCGTCCGTTGCAGAAATATTTAATTCATTAGAAATTCATTACCAAACACCTGATACTATTGTGCCCATGGATTTTTCATTTCTAGAACCGGTACTTCGAGGTGAAAGTGCTGCTCCACCGCCAGCACGTTGTCAAAAACTACAACACATTTCTCCACAAAACAGTTCAGCAAGTGAAGATTCAGCTATTGATATTCGCTCACCGTCACGCACAATAACTATTATAAAAGATGATTATAGATCTTCAGAATTATTTTCTGATGTTAATAATGATAATTATTCAGAAAATAATTCACTCATATCAACTCGTTGTTTGAAAGTACCATCATCTGTTGATTAAAATTATTTTTCAGTTTATACATTCTGTTATGAATTGTCTTTTTTTGATAGTAAAAAACTATTATAATTTTGTTACATTAATTGAAAAAGAAAAACATTTTACCGTGTAGCCGTTTTCTAATTACAATAGGCTATTTCAAGAATAAAATATCTCGACAACTTCCTTTTGATAATTAAAACCAATATACGATCTGCAACAGCAACACATTGTGATACACGTGGCATGGATCTGATCAAACTGTGACCGACTACTTCTTTGGTTTTGGCGTTGAGAACTGTATGATTTACGAGCTTTTGGCACTTGAGTTCGATGTCATATTGTCTCGATTGTTGTATTTGAAGAATTTTTCTGTGCCAAGTTTTGAAAGATGTAGGAACATATATTTGCACTTTGAATAATACTCATATTGCGTTTATGAAAGGAAAAACCTACAAAAACAATATTCTACTTGAAAAAAGGAAAAAATGTATTGTTCTCATTAAAACGATGTTTCTTGTTAATTTCGACTATTATGTTTTCTTCTTCTTCGTCTTCTTCTTCTTTGTCTCTATGATCAACTGTTTGAGTTAAGTGTTTGGATGTCGACGACTTTATTTGTTTGAAGACAGATACAATACTGCCAAGATGATTCTCATGGATTTTTATCTCGCGAAGAATTTTTCTCCATGTTTTAATATGTAATTAATATGCGTGTAGTAAGAATATAAATGGGGGTGTTAATTTTCTATGCAATACATGGCATATAGAAATTACATAGAATGTTTATCAAAGGAAAATGTCTGGCAAACCGAAAATCATAATTTTCCGGTCGGAGAAAGCGGCGTGAAAAAAATTAGTTTTGCTTTAACAGTGCTTCATGAAAGAGAACAAAGAGTGTAGGACACATTTAGGAACGATTGCGCTTCCTTTAAACTTCTCATAAAAACATATAAATAGAAAAAAACGTTCTTTTAGAGATATTATGTGCAATATCACTTTATGAAGCTTATTACTTTTAACCGGAAGACCACAGACAATGTGGCAATCTTCTATTCTATTTAAGATTTCGTACTAGTTAATATAGTATATTATATAAAGTAATTATACAGGAGCTTGTGTGACCCGAAGCTTTGCTTGAATAACATATTTATAAAAAACTTCGCTGTAAAATAAGTTTTCTCGTAATGCCTATGAAAACTATAATTTATACTTGAATTGAACGGCCTGTAATGTAGGAGAAAATATCATTGGTTTTTACATTTTTGATAAACAAGTTATTATCCCCTATTGCCAAATATAAAGATGCATGAATAGTGTTGGAAGTTTGTTTTTACACAACTAGCATAATTCTTATGTTCAAATAAAACATGGTCAAAATTCATCTATTTTGAAGATTTAATTCATATTCGAGCAAACATCTTTCACAATATACAACATGAAATTAAATCTTCAGAGCTCATCAATTGACTGATTTTGGGGTTTGCTGCTTTTTTATTTTGAATAATTGCTAAGCTCGATTGAAACAAAACGAGTTTGTCACGCATCTACAGAATTGTCTTAGTCTAAATTTAGATCTTCTATTTTTATATGTTCATGCTTGAGTGAGAGATCAACATGAAAGAGAGAGAAAAAGAGATTGATAAAATATTCTTGTCGTCAGTTATTACATATTATTACGGACTTGCCTTCAATAACTCAACTAAAATAACCTTACCGTTTTGGGGCAAAATATAGAAAAAAACAAAAACACTCAGGTGTTTAAGAATGAACAATAGAAAGACTTTCTTTGTTTTTTAAGAAAAACTTGTTAAAATTTTTCTCAAAACGTTTTTATTCACAAAATCAAAACTACAAAGAAAAGCAAAGTGAATGCGTATCAGCATTCATACAGTTATTTTTTTACAATCATCTTCTTCAGTAATTCCATAACTAGAAATGAAAAACACACTACAAACGAGAGAAAAAAAGTGTTTTACAAAATGTGTGTTTGCATCTATGAGACAGAAAACGACGCACTCATAGTGCAAGACTAAACTATAGAAATAATATAAAATGATTAAAAATGATTTTGCTTTTACAAAAACACAGATACGTCACAAATGAAGAGAACAAAAAGAATAGAAAAACACTAAAATTATATTTTTTCAATAAGATCATCAAGATCATCCCAACTTTGTTGACTTTGTCCATTTCCGATTGAACTGACACCATCATCAAGCACAGCTAATTTTTCCATGGCATCTAAAACGCTACCATTTTCAGTTTGAACATCAACTATGCATTGACTTTCGGTTGTTGTTGATTGCGTATCATCGGTTATGGTTGTAACTTGTTCTTTTCGAAAACTTTTATTTATTATTGTTTGATGACGATTATTAGTTGCTATTGATGTTGTTTTTTCTTGTTCAATAGTTGTTGTGGTTGTGGTAGCTTGAGAAGCAGCCATTTGCTTGTCTTTTCGAATCATAGCTGATGCTGTTGCTGCTGTTGATTTAGCTTTAGTATCAACAACCGGATCGTCTTCAAAATCTGATTTCAACCATTCAATCATATCCGTAAACATACAAACGCCTTTTTGTGTTGGTTTCATTTGTAGCATTGACATTTCATAGGGATCATGTAAATCATTATCGGCGGTAAATTCTTCTTCTTTATTATTATTGTAATCTAAGAAGTTCGATGCATATTGTTGTTCATGAATTTTATAATGATTGCGTAAACGTATGGCCGATGGAATATATTGTTTACAAATTGAACACACACGTGAAGGTAATTTTGTTTGCAACGATGGACAACATGCGTCAAATGGTAAGAGATCATTATGTGTACGATTAATAACAATACCATGAAATTGTATACGTTGAAAAAGATTTCCATAAAATGGCGATACTGGATCTACGGCTGCCGATGATGATTCGATTTCGGCCATTTTAACACCACGTGACGAACGATTGAACGGGACTGGTGGTGGATTGAAACGATGAGGAAATACTTGAATATAATTTGAACGCCATGGTGTGCAACATGTTGGATTATTACAACGAATTATTTGAATTGTATATTGAGTTTGAAGAACATGGGTTGCACACCAATATCTTAAATGAAAAATAATAATTAATAGTATGATAATCTTTTGCTAGATGATATAGGATTGACTCGATCTGCAGTCGGCTCATAAAAATCTATGCGAGAAATTTCAACTTGGTCACAATACTTTAAGAATTTATTTCTTTTGATTAAAAACAAAAAAATATGGAGAAAGAACGCGAACTACTCCCGCCAAGGCCTGTTTGTAGCTAATAGTTGTTCATTTGGAATGATGCTTTTTGTGTGATTGTTTAAAAATTACATGGAATATCCTATTGTTATGATCTCAATCTCGTACAAATTCATCTCCTCAAGATTTCTTACTCGTCAATATCACACTCGGTCTTGATTTCTGTCATGGGCACTGTTGTGCCCGGTTGCGATTGATTAATACGTTGTTCAAGTGGTGCTTCTTCTTGTTCTTCAGAACAAATTCTAAAACAAAAACATAATAATAAAACAATTAAATTTTCCTAAAATAACATACCGATCAATGACACTATCCAAAGCTAATGTAGTATCAACCATTTTAAGTTGTTCGTCAATCATAGGCGGTGGATTAATATATTCCGCAACAACTGGATGTTCATCAATGACATTGATACTCCAAACTTCAGCCAAAACCTCACCAGTTGCTTTGAAATTTTGTTTTTCTAATTCTGCATGCTCAGTTGAACCGGCATCATTTAAATGCGTAGCAAAATGATCATGCGGAAGAATAAGACCGGCCAGGTCGTGTGATAATGGCGCCAAACGTCGTTCAACAACATTAAATAAAGCTTGACCTGGCGCTTGCGATACAATAAAAAGTGCATCTAAATTATATTTTTTAAATTTATCAATAGCTGCTGCCAATGTTTTAGGATAGCGTGTATTGTTTTCTGCACCACTACTATCAATACCAATAACAACGATGGGTTTAACACGACCAAGATGATCACGTGCAAATTTTTCAAATTCTTTCAATTGAACTAAACGGTCGAAATCTATTGAATGCGTTTCATGTGTTAATCGATCATGTTTAGCCGATCGAATGGAAATATAGGTTGGACCAGCATAACCAATTAGACCAGTATCATCAATGATCGAGGCAGCATAAACACTGAAATCAAATAGATATTTTGTTTTTCTTCTTTTAATTAATGAATTTCAATTTTACCATGGTGCATATTGATGTTTTTTAGTAGGTACAGCTGTTTGTGGTTCAGTAGAACTTTGTTGATAATTCAAATGCATAATAAGTGGTGCTAGAACTTTAGCTGAAGGTCGACCAATACTAATCTTGGCTTTAGTATCTTGCGTTAAATAGAAGACACAATCTTGACCAAAGATACCAGCTAAATCTTTCACATGTCTTAATGAAGCACCAGTAAAATGAGAATCTAAACATTTGAAACAAAAAAAAAAGAAAAAAAACGTAATTACGATGATAATTTTTTAAGACAAAAAAACCTTCATGCTTCGGTATTTCTTGAAGAGTTTGTAATTTTCGAAGACGAACAGGTACAGTTATAACATGTTTTTTTCCATCATGTGATAATGCACGATTAGGCATAAGACTAAATAGAGACAAAAAGAATAAAACTATAAATTTTTTTAATTTTAGTATGTTTCTTTTTTACCGATAGTAAAGTGATGATTTTCGAATTTCATAACCTCGTTCTTTTATTTTATCTTTAAGATCATCTAACGATGCACAGGCTTTGCCTTTATTATCGGTTGCACCACCGACACGCGCAATTTCAGCAATGATTTGTAAAAGATCTGGACAATCTTCTTCAATTTGCATTCTCATTGATGATGGTCGAAAAATTTTCGAAAGTTCAGCAGCGACTTCAGGATTTTGCGCACATAATTGTTCAACGCGACGTTTCTTTCTTTCACGATACCGTGTTGATGCACGTTGTTTCGATTGTAAACGTTTAAGATCAGTTGTACGTTGTTTTTTTTGTTCAATTAATTTTTTCAGTGTTTTTTGATTTTCCGGTGTTAACAGCCCCATACTTTTAACTTGTATTAAATTAGCAATACGCTCAGAAATTTCCTTAAGATCTTTTAAGACAGATTCTTGTGCTGGAGTTTTAATTTTTTCATTGTCAATTTGAACTGCCTTAGCTTGGGCTTGAGCTTTTTTCTTAGCTGCCTTTGCATTTGAACGTGCTATCCATGGTTTTTCTTTAGCTATTGTTTCTTCGTCCATTTCTTCAGGCACTTGAGTATTTTTTCGTTTTGAAAATGTCGGTTCTACAGATTCGACTACATTTGGATCATAATTTGGATCGTCATCTTCGGATGAAAGTGCTCGTTTACGAGTCGATCTTTTAGTTGGAACTTTTTTTCCATTTGTTGCTACCGTTTTCTTTTGTTCAACTGGTTGCGCACCGGCTTTATTCCAAATATCAAGATATTCGGTGATTTTCTTGCGAACTAGCTCTTCATTCTTTTTTATTTGATTCCATTCGGTTTGTGCACTATGATGTGAAGTCTTTAGGAGAAAAAAAAATATGGATAAATTTTACTTTATTTTTTTGAAATTTCATAAATCGAGACTTACACATCGTGTCATATCGGGATGACCTTTCATATACGAATCGACAAATTCTCGATATAAACAGTACCGAGGACTTTTGTGTGCCATGTTTCTTGAGAAATCTAACGAGGTTGATGTGATACTATAAGTGAATGGGATGGGGGGTACCTATCCGGCAACGAAGATGATGACCTATGTAGAAGTGGTAGTAGCGTCGAGTGAACGCGAGGCAAATGAACGAGAGAATAGTTAGAGCAACTATAGGCACACTATTTAATGATCACCCATAGTGGCCAAGAAAAAATATAGAGAACGACGACGTGACCGTACGATGACCCCTTGATAGAAGCAAATATGAACGGGACGTGATCAACACGTATATCTATTGGTGGAAGGGGACTTCGATGAGTAGAACAGAAAAGAAAAAGAATGCAAGACCACTTACGATAGCGTATATACGACCGGCATAGTAGCAACCGTATATTCATCGAAACTTTAAAGTTATATACATGTATGATGAATATCCCACGTTATCAATAGTAAAGTCAATAATGAAAAAAAAATTTATGCTATTCTTTGTAATCATCAATTTCATTTGAATACAGCGAAAATTTGTATTAAATACTAAATGTTACAAGTTGCATAATTGAAGATACATAAGAAAACGTTTTTTTTTCTAGTAAATTAAATAATAAAATTAATTATCCATTGATACGGTATAAATTCAAGGTTCTTTTATAGATATGTGATCCGCTTGATTTTGATGACATACTAGAATAGATTTTTATCAATTAGGTTCCGATATACGTAGGTTCTAGGTAGTATCGTTCATGAATCAATGCGAACACTCTAAAAATATTATATCAAGTGTGATTATTAGGAATCTGCTTTATCATTAAGATAAAAATATTAAATAAATACATTGACTGAATGTTGTTCACAGATAATTTTTGAACAGCTTATCCAAACCAGATTATTATTCACACAGTTACGCCTGTAGATGAACGACATAATAAATAAATCGATCAGAAACTTCCGAAGAAGTGATTCAGTATGTTTTGATCTAAGATAAAAATTTTACCGGATGCAATACGCACCTATTAAAATCCTCACTAGATCTATTCGCATATTAATGGAAGAGTTATCATAAAGATTGATTGTTCTTTTGATATATAGATTGAATACTAGGTATTGATCTGTGCAATAATCAGCGACTTTTGTACGCGAAATATTGCACCGCTCATTTTTTTTTCTTTAAATTTCAGTACGAAAGAATTCATATAGTTTACTTTCCAATTAAAATAGGATTCTATCATGAATCGATCGTTAGAATAATATTGACTTTTTGAAAAAAATTTAAAAGATAAAAGATGAACTTCCAGTTTATTCTGTTTTTTTTGCAGAGAAGATAATGAAAAAAAGAAAGAAAAAAAGAAAAGCGTAACAAATATAAAACGGATGGTTGTCGATTTATATCGATGAAATTGTTCTATATTTGATCCACCCGTTTAAAATATATTAACCAATTTGTGCTAAATAATCTTTAACTTCAGCAGGTGTTAAACGACGAAAACCTTCCTTATCACAAATACCAATTTCAATGTTGTCTTCAGTCATTTGACCTTCAAAGGATTCTTTGAGTGTTAATATAGCCGTATGTACTGCATCTTCAAGCGCTAACTGATCTGAATATCTATTTTTAAAAAAATTCGTATATTTATAATTACGTTTTATAAAAGAATGATGCAAATTTTTTGTACCGTTTTTCGAGAAAAGTTTTACCATTGATATAATTACGACCAATAGCTGTTGCTTTCCATGGGAAGTATGAACCCTTGAAAAACAAAAGTATGCATAAATATATGAATAGGAATAATTAAGCAATGCTTACTGATGGATCACATTGATAAAGAAATGGACGATCTTCATCATAATCATAACCACAAATAAGTAGAGAAACACCAAATGGACGTACACCACTAAAATTTGAAAAATTATATTTTAATTTTCAAAGCAGATTTCATAACAAACCCCGATTGAGTATATTCTTGCATAACATCAGCTACACGTTTCACTAATTGCGTCGGTGGTACATTTTGTTCATAGATAAGCATATATTCTTGACCTAATTTACGTGCTTTTTGTACGAGTAATCTATTAAAATAATTAGTGTGATTAGTAAAAAAAGAACAAAGATGCTTTTCTTTACCGATAATCAGGACCCATACCACTATAAACAAGACCGATATTTTTGCAAATGGGTTCAACCTTATGAATTGTACGATCATCGTGTAATATTGATTTGCTTTTCTTTTCTGTAGCTAATACAACTCCATTCGATGCTTTGATACCAACTGCTGGCGAACCTGCATTAACAGCATTGAGAGCATATTCGATTTGAACAAGTTTGCCCGACGGACTAAATGTTGTTAATGAAAATCCGTATCGTTCTGACATTGTTTTATTTTAAGCTATTGAAATCTAAAACTAAATTATATCAAACATAATTTTATAAAGCGAGAAATTGAACTCTTTCAAACAAAAACATGTTGAAGGTTTTCGAAATAAGTCATTTCTCCAGAAGAGCTGAATATACTCTTGATTTCTTAATTATCGAAGAGTAGACGATAGATACAAATGATCGATATCTTCTCAGTAACTCTGATATTTTCCGTTCCTGGGTAGCACAAAAGGTTGCTTTCAGATTTTGATCATCACATACAGAAAAGCAGAGCAGTTCGACCCGACTATGTGTAAAAATTTTGGACTCGAGACGCTCTAGCAGTTTTGCGTTACAACAGAGATATGATGTCTGTACTGAACTTAGAAAATAATAAATCAACAAAAACAGAAGAAAATTTAACTAACATAAGTGTCGAACACCTATATTTTTAATCTGAAAGAAAAAAAATCGACATGTACAATAAACAAGAATAATTACGAATAATTTCTTTCAAGTTCAGCTTTAATTTTGCCTAAAACTTTAGGCATCTTTTTTACTTTATCATCATCATCTAATTTTTTTGTTTTATAAAAATGTGGTGCTGTTTCGCGTAGCCATTCATTTTCAATTTCGATCACTTGTCTCATATATTCTTTTGTTGTAAGTACAAGTTCAAAATAAATCACATAACGTGGAATTTGATCAAACAAAGCACTATTTGGATGTATCAATACGCTTTGTTGATGACGGATTGTTTTATACATTCCATTTTTAGAAAATTTTGCTGTATGATAAAAGAAACCAGCACATATAGATTTACGTATACCGATTGTATCAGCTGGATTGGATAGTATCTCGATTTCAACACGTTCCATCAGTGTTTCAAGTTGATCTCGTACTTGTCGTGCGCGATTCATCGAACGAAATTGTATAAAATTTTCATAGCACCATTGTGTCGAAAAATTTGTATCTTTCCATTGATTGTAAACATTAAGTAATGTGATATGATCACCACCAGGAACAAAAAATGCTTGACGAGCTGTATCTGCCAGAAGTGTTTTATCCTTTGGGCGAAAAAATATTGAATTATTAACAGATAACATAGAAACGATTGTTAAAATTTCAGCTGAACATTTGTATGTTTCACTGGCAAGAATTGTTTTTGACAACATTGGATCAAGAGGAAATTCAGCCATACGACGACCCAATTTGGTTAATTCAACTTTATGATTTAATGCACCAAGAGCATAGAGTTGTTCGAAGGCTAAAATAATAAATTCATAGATAGTTAGTAAATTATGTTGTTTGCCATCTAAACTGGTTACAGCTAAGTTGTGTCTAGAAGTTTCTCATATGTCAAAAGATAGACTCAGAAGAAAAAAAGTTAAGCTTTTCAGTTTAGATAGTTCCCGATGAGTTTGATCAAATCTGTCGTAGATTCTAATTGATTCCTTCAGAGAGATGCGGCAGTATTAAAACATCTTGGCTTTGCATTTCTCTCCTATGGTAACTTCAATCTACACAATAGAGTTGAAAGTTTTTTTTATGTAATTCCTGAACACAGTGTGCAATTTCTCCTATTAGAATAGGAAGGCTGTATCTTCAAAAATATATCATCATTCGAAACACTATTATGTAGGTAGAACAAAAGTTTCAGCTCGATTGGATATAGAATCTCGATATTTTTTTGTCTTAGTCAAAAAATGATGTGAATTTTGAAGTCGACTCTGCAAGAAAAATTTAACTTACCCAAACGAAGCGTTTCCATTGGAGGCGGATCCATATAATCAAAATTTACCAAATCATTAATACCTAAACTTTTAAGTAGTAAAACAACATTTCCTAGATTTGTTCGTTGAATTTCCGGAATACTATTATCATCTAATTCATGTTGATATGCCCAAGCTAAAACGACGAGAAAAAAATAAAAAAGTTGTTTGAAAAAACGATTATAACTTACAAGTATATAATCGAAAACATTTTCCAGGTGCAACACGTCCAGCTCTTCCAGCTCGTTGATTAGCTGATGCTTTTGATATTGGTGTTATTGTCAATGCTTCCATACCGTTTCGTGCATTATAAGTTTTTTGTTTACAAAAACCGGGATCAATTACAAAATGTATACCATCAATAGTTAATGATGTTTCGGCTATATTTGTTGCTAAAATTACTTTTCGTCCACCGGGTGGAGCTGGTTCAAATATTCGAATCTACAAATTTAAAAAAAGGCATATAAATTTTCAGTATAAGATGAACAAGAAATTCAATATTTCATACCTGCATATCTGATGGTAACGTTGAATAAATAGGTAAAATAATTAATTCTTTGATTTTCGTTCCTAACTTTCGAGTTCTTTCAAGTAGCATTTCATTGGCCAATTCAATTTCTTCTTGACCGGTAAGAAAAACTAAAATATCACCTAATGGCTGTGTAACATGAATTTGTAAAACAGTAACAACAGCTGCATCGACATAATCAGCTTCGGGTGCTTTTGTATAATAGATATCAACAGGAAATCGACGACCAGGGATTCGAAATATTGGCGCATCATCGAAAAATTGTGAAAATTTTTCAGCATCAAGTGTTGCTGATGAAATTAATAATTTAAGTTTCGGTCGAAAACGTGCTATATCTTTAACTAAACCAAATAAAATATCGGTATGTAATGTACGTTCATGTGCTTCATCCACAATTAAAACACTGTATGAGGCAAGATCTGGTTCACCGAGAAATTCTCTTAGCAACATGCCGTCAGTCATATATTTTATTATTGTTCGCTCGGAAGAACAATCTTCAAAACGAATGGAATAACCAACTTCACGACCCAATTTTACATTCATTTCTTCTGCAACACGTGCAGCAACAGACATAGCAGCAACACGACGCGGTTGAGTACAACCAATCATCATCTTCTTTTTAGTTTTCTTTTTGCCATCGGGTAATTTAATATTATCATCATCATCACCATCTTCTACTTCGTCTTCATCTTCAGTATCGGCTTCACAATATCCTTCTTCGAATAGATACTGAGTTAATTGAGCTAAAAAATAAAAATAAAAGATTAGAATTTTCTCTCGAATCAATGTTTTGTATCATGTATCCTGAATGATATCAAACAGAGACATGCTGTTGTTTGCAGTTCCGACTCCAATAATATTCTCTAGTTCAGAACTACGAGGATGCATCAAATTATGAGGGATGAAATACATAGGTATTTTGGTTGACCAAGGCCTTCCTATTAGAGGAATTCATATTACCCTTACGAAATTTTCAACGATTGATAACCATTATTTACTGAAAATCCGCTAAATTCCTTATCAATCATGTTTTTTCTATTGTCTAGAGATTCAAAATATTAAATTTCGTAAATTAATTAGATGTCTATTATTGATGCAAGAAATATTTCTCAATAACACTGCAATAACGTCTTTGTTTTTATATCACAGTAATACATCGTCTGTTTACAAAGCAATAACTGAATTTCTTACTTGTTTTTCCTGATCCAGTTTCTCCTTCAATAATTAAAACTTGATGATCACGTATTGCACTCATGAGATCTTCACGAAATTTATAAATTGGTAATGTTTTACGTGATTCTAGTAATGTACGATATTTGCGTTTATTTTCATCTTCATGTTCATGTAATTTTGATTTTTCTTTCTGCTGTAAAAATTCATTAACGCCAGGTATTGTTAATTGTTGTACAAATTGAATTTCTTCATCAAGTATATAATCATATTTCGGTTGTTTACTTTTAGCATCTTTATCTAATGAACCAAAATGAGGTAAAGCTGTATGAATAACTTCATCTTCCCATTTTCTCTGTTCAAAATTTTGTCCCGATTGTCCATTTGCTTTAGCATCAGAATAACGATTGTCTTCTCGGTAACGGTCATTCTTTGATGTTTCATCACTTTTACCAGTTGGCATATGATAACGATCGACATTTTCCATTTGTTGAGCTTGATCATGTTCGCGTGCTAAATTTAATGCGATTCTTTTCAATTTAATATCTTCTTCTTCACGTTTTGTTAATTTAACGCCTTTAAATAAATAGTCTTCATCAGCAAGTTCTTGCTCGAGTTCATCAATTTTTTTCTCTTTTCGTGACTTTAAATAAACATGCCGTGATCTTTTACGTAATTCTTCAACCGATAATTTGGACCGATCTGATTCGTGTGAAACAGGTTCAGCTTTGAATTTCTTTTTCGTTTGATCATCATCACGTTCACGAAGACGTTTAGCAAATGCATCACGTGCACGTATATCGGCATCACGACGAGTATTAGTTTCGTCATCATCACTCGAAGACGACTGATTCTGTTGATGATCAGATGGAGGAGATTGTGATGGTGATGCAGCCATTTCGTAGTCTAAAACAAGTAAATGAAATTGTTTAGTAAGTTAGAAAGAGACTTTCTATCGATGGTTCCTTCTATTAACCAATTGCGGAACAACCATAGAATAGATGGCGCTTAGTAGCATAATAAATATTGCAGTGCATTTGAATTTCGAAATTCTTTCATAAATGTTAGTCTGAATTTCATAAGATCCATCGAGAAAAGAACTCAGCCAGTGTTACTTCTCTTTATTAGTGATAAACCATCACTCAGCAAACTCGAGTTGTTTTTATATTGGAAAGCTTCGTTCGTTTATAACTATTACGCGGAGTATAAATAATTGGTTTTTGAATCTTTTAGATGAATGACAGATCAGTTTGAAGTAGTTTTTTTTATTTAATTTGTAATAGTTGATTAGAAATCATCGAGTGAACTTATAGAACATCTTTATACACGAAAAAGAACTATAATTAAACAGATGTGACATTCTATGCTTTTGCATTTGATTAAAATGAGAACACAAGGGTAGAAAATTTCAATGTTGTATTTGAAAAATGAATTTGTAACTGTAAGAGTACCGATGGTATATACAGTTTTTTGTACTTGACTACCGGAAAAATGACCTCCACCACAAGAAAATGATACAATTGAGAGCGCGCCAGAACGTTCTACATCAGTCATCTGTGATGAACTTGGTTGTTGTCATCGTAATACAGTTTCAAGTTTACTCCAGCAATTTGCATTCGGAACAGAAATGGAGCCAGGATGTAGAGCAATTTTTGAACGCTCTGTATCTGGATTTTCAGAATAATAGTCCCAGTCAGGGTGACCAGATCAAAAATTGAAAAATCGGAAATTAATCAGAAAATGGCAGTTTTTGACCAATTAGTACATCTTCCGCTAAAGTATTGACATTCAAAGTTCTGCTGCGTTTCTGTTTATTGACTGGAACTTTATTTTCAAAGATATTTCAATAAAACGAAAAACAATATAATGAATATATCGCTTAGCTAATACGAAGACATCAATCAAACATACTTAATGTTGAGCTTCGTTTTAAATTTAAAACTCGCTCACAAAAATGAGCAAAACCAAATCAAACACATTCTGCGTAGATTAAGAAGCCTAACGAGAAAAAAAAACGTTAAATCCTATCATCTCGGTGTTGTTATTCATATTTCGTATCTTTTGGAATTTGCTCTCGGAAGTTTGTTTAAGATAATATATGCTAATAAAACCTTCTCAAGAATAATGACCATTTGATTTTATTTTAAGTTAAGCATTATCTGGTTTTATATTCTCGGATTACGATGATCGAACTATAAATGCTTTACGTGACCGAAAATCAATTCGACGTCAGAATTCGAACGACGAATATAGAAGATGATTAATAGAGAAAATTGATGAAACAGTATTGATTTATTATAGTAATGGGTTATAATCGTACCTACATTCAACGACAAAGCAGCGATCTCAATATGTTCCAAATTCAGAATTGTTCCCGATTTTTCAGAAGATCTGGCCATCCTGGATCACACTATCATGTACACGTATACAAAACTTTTGTCGTTTGATTTTTACTTAGGTTCAAATTCAACTGAGATACAATTGAGATTGTCTAGCGATTCATATCAAAAAAACATTTTCATAATCTAAAATACTTTCTGTTTATCTGATTTCTACTTCGGCCTTGTCAAGGATATATTGACTTAAATAGAAAGCTACATTTTAGAAGTTCTAGCTGTTTGAGCCAATTGCAAAAATAAAAGCTTTCACATCAGACGTCAATCGACCAATGAATCACATAGCATATTAAATGCTTCGATTACATTTGTTACCAAAACTAACAGGAGTTCCATGTATTTACAGCTCGTAGTCGACTATAGAATGGTTTTCGTTAAAAACGTTTCTACTATAAAATTTCTGTCATAGTTGAATGTTACCAATGAAAATAGTTAGAATTTGTTTTTATTTTCTATTTTCTTTGAAATACGATAATTCCATGCAAAATACTTTTTTCGCTCTAATTTCTTCAGGAATTTTTAAAATGTTCCAGTTTGAATTACGTTCATTGTCTTGCCTAGTTTAGAAAATTTCGACTAGAAAGTAATACAGTCAAGCTTTACGTCAGAGAGTGAAACCTAATCGAACAAAAGCAATCTTTTTTTAAGAAATTCGATGAACAACAAATCTCGATTAATATCTATCAAAACTTGATCTGAAGGTTATTCATATAGCACTCATCTAATTAGAATAGCCCTAAGTCAGACGTTGATCATGATAATAGTCAAATGACGTTTATGCATAGAAATAATCGTTTTTATCCTCTATTATAAATTTCACAGAATGAAAGTCAAAGTGAAACTTGAAGCTTCGTTATCACCGTTGTCGGAGCGATTCATCTCTATCTGTATTCGTTCTGACGTAACTGTTTTGAGATATTTAGTGTTTTATAGCCCCTCCACACCCCACCTAGGTAATATTTTATCATTACATCGTATCATGAGAACAATAGAAAAAAAGAGGCAGTAAATTACTGATCACAAATTTTTAGAAGCGCAATTAATGGCAAAAGTTAGTCCAAATAATTCCGTTCTTGAAACACAAAGTAAAAATATTACTTCGACTAAAAATGAGATAATTCAGCGACAAAGTCAAACTTCATCTACTGAACTTCCGCTGACAACAATATCAAAAGCACTATTACCATTATCGGCACCGCCTGCACCATTATCAACATTGGCACATGCTGTAATTCGTATTCCTCAAGAATCGAATCAATGTAAGCCTGCATTCGTATCGATTATTGAATCGCGAATAAAAAGTTATAAGAAATGGTTCTGTTTTACGTCTGCTGTATTCATTATTCTTAGCATTTGTTTTATTATGGGTGGATCCGCAGGGATTTTTGAAATGCATTATTCCGACAATGAAAATTCTGCAATTTTAATAGTTGGATCTGTTTGTTTGATTGTAGTAGGTCTTATTATTTATCCATGTCGATTTTGGTATAAACGAAGAAGCCTCATCCAACAAATTAAAGTCTTGAATGATCCTCTGATCGCTTGGAAGTTAGACTGTGCAACTTGGCGTCAATACATGGAATACCTTCATTGTGATCCAAGAACAGACCATAGACATTTTCTGAATGTTGGTCAGCGATATTCTTGTATAACATGTAAATGTCGAACATCGTATATAAAAACTATCAATCGTAACGGTGGCTATTTACTACTGTACAATCAATGTCTGATGATTGATGATTTTTACTATAGAGAGTTTCCAGTCATAAGCGATCCATTGACTATCATAAGCAACATGAACGAGCCAATGATCGTGCGAATACCGATGGCACTTGCTGGATTGTACGTCGATTTCATGGTTCCTAGCGAAATGACAGAAAATAATCTCAATTATGAGATAGATGAAATCAATATCAAAGTCAGACAGAAGAAGGAACAAGCAGGTAGTTCTAGCTGCTGCTCTGCTGAGAACAACACAGACCATAGTGAGAATTGCTTGACTTTCTTTGCTGATATTGTGTCAAATGTAGTCCATTAAAGGATGAAAAAGAATTAAGCTAATGATATATTTTGAAGCAAACGTCTTCTGTTCCAAGATGCATAGTTTTATCATACTTTTATAGTTTATGAATTTTTTCGTATGATTAACGAAATTCCCAAATAGAAATCAGCGTCGTTATGATAAGTTTTTTGAAAATAGAGATACCGATTCTATTCTCAGTCTATAAAAAGCAGCTTCATATGTGTAAAAGGCGATCCAATTTTTAATTGCATAAAAAATTTTCAACCCGCAGTGTTATTTGGAACGTAATACAGAATACAAGTCACCATTTTAACAAACATTGACAACTTATTTATAGGTCTATGAAACACTTTTGCTGATGGTCTTGCATCATCATTAAGTGTTGATCATTTTGAAAAAGTAACCGAAAGTGATAATAATCAGTAGAGATATTAAAGGAATGAGATTCCAGACTACTATTTCATTTGATTTACGATATCTCATCTATGGAAATTCAAAAATGTCGTCTGACCTTTGTTTTCTTTAATTTTGAGAATAGACTGCAAATAGTATTAGTTTTGTTTTAGGGAAATTGTTCAATGTAAATTATTCCATCTATGAGAACTTCATTACATAAATAAATAAATGTGGAAATTTCGGATTTCATCCGAAAGTTATGTGTACTGCAAAAAGTGCATGGGACATATGAGTCATTCTAGAACGTCTGAACACGAAAATTATCATGAGAAACTAGGCAATTTGATTTCTGGATGCAGTTTTTGTGCATTTTGAGACGTTTTTCAGGCGATGTTTCATCAGAAAGCTACTGTTTAGTTTGAAACTAATATCAAATTCGGAATCAGCGTTAAAAAACTGAGTCGATTTATGTATGTTGTGAATAATTCTGAGAAAGATTTACTTTTTGAAAAAAAATTCCCTGTACTCCTCCTCAGGGATGGCCTGGTCAAAAATGACAATTTTTTCGATAACTCAACCATTTCTTGAGGGATTCTTCTCATCTTCGAACTCGACCGAGATATTCATGAGATTGAACTGTGTGGAAAATTTCATCACGGTCTGACTCTCCTTTCGAAAGTTATCGTGCCTACGGCCGGACGGCCGGTCGGACACACTGACCGATTCTAGAGTGTACTCACTTTTTGAGTACACAAAAATTAGTTAAATATAGTAAAATAATTGATTATTTTCATAATTTATTTGGTTTCTATTGAGAAAAGTCCATATGATATTAAGTTAGGTTCGTGTTCTTTTCCTAAGGATACAGTTCAATTAACAATAAAGAAAAATATCCTCACCGACGTCTACATTCACAGTATAAAAATTATTTGTTCTCTCGAGAATTATAAGGCGAATACAAAACTTGACTAATATTGCTAATTTCATACTTCGCTTTCGGAATTTTGAATGCGTGCCTATACATTCTGTATAGTTCATTTTTAAATATCTTATACTCATGTTGTTCGAGTAATATTTCAATGAAGCGTTGTAGTATAACGAGACTTTACTGGTATCTCTACGATACTGCTAAATAATTTTATTAAAAAGGTAAACATGTGATCAGCATTTACAAAAGTACTTTTACAACTTACATACTGCTGTTAGTTTCAATATTTATTTTGAATAGAACTAGGGCTGCCAAGTGTACCCCATTTTGGGGTACAATATCCCATTTCATCATTTTGTACTCCATTTAGACTTTTAAGTCTACGATACGACTACCTAATCTTCTAATGAAAACAACTATCTTCTTCTAGACTTTTCTCATTTTCATAAAGAAATGTATAATAAAATGTGTTGGCAAATAACTGACCAATAGATATTAGCACCCATTTTGTTTAATTTCGTCTTTAATTATTCGGTTTTACATACTATTTTCAGTATGAATAATGAAATAAATCTTATTGAATTTTTTCCTTTTCTCCTTTCCCATCGTTTCATTACTTTTTTCAATTAAGTTTGATAAATACATATTGCCTCAAAAATGAATCGAGTTTTAGCCTTTCCCTTCGATGTATTTGGTTTTATTGATAATTTTCGCATGGCATTGAACAAAGATTATGAAGGTAAAATTTCTGACGATTCAGAAGCAACAGCAAGTGAAGAATTTCCCAGTTTCCGAGACAAGCCAGCTACTAATATCAAAGAATAAAATGTTCATCAAAGTCAAAAAGACGTTGTATGTTCAATCAAAACTGACTGAAAGATCCTAAATATATAGCATTTCTTAGAGAATGTCGAATTAATAAATATTTTGCTCATTGTTCTATATGTAAATCAGACTTTTGTGAAACACGACCTGAAAGGAGTGTTGGTGTTTAGGGTAGAAACTTTGCCCCCCCCCCCACAGATCGTTACCGACAGGTAATTTTCCCATCACAGAACGTGACAGACACCTTAAGAGATCATTAAAAACCGTGACCGACGCCTCAATTGCTTAATTGGTCATCACAGACCGCGGCAGAGGATCTTCAGAAATGACTACAGATTGTGGCAAAAGCTTTAATTAATTGACTAATTAGTACCATATGAATTGAGTGCTCATCACAGACTGTTACACAAGATCTTCAGCGATCATCACACAGCGTGACAGTCTATCTTCAGATCTAGCACAGCCCATCAGAGACGCTGTTCCAGCCCAGCGCAGATCATCCTGGTAGTGGCAAACGAGCTGTCTCACCAAATCAACAAAGAACTCCCTTGAATACACCATCTCCACGTGATTTCTTTTCTTGCAGTGATTATGTCGTGTTTCACATTTTTAATCCCAGAGGGATTGCGCTAACAGCTTTTCTATTTCTAATGGTGGTGTTTATTTGATCGGTTTTCTCAATTAAATCCTCTATTTTAGGAGGCAGACAATGTACCCCATTTGAAAAATGAGAAATGGCAGCCCTGAATAGAACGTATGCAATCATTATGATAACGTAGATTAAACCTATGGATGGATACACATACGTCGATAGAAAGCTAATAAGCAATTAACAATTACTTCAACTAATGGATGACTAAAGAGACGAAATGAAAGCTAGCCTTTATACTAGTCAATGTATACTTCTGTTTATGGTTCAATCTTTGAAAGCCTTTCATTTTGAATGACACATGTCGACAATCTAGGACATGCATTCTATATACTAAAAAGTCAAAGATTCTCTTTAATTAAAAACAATCATAATTCAAATGAGAACCAAGTTTTTTCTTTTTGGTTGATCACTTTTTTCATTTAATCATTTGATCGTACAAAATTCAACTAGGATCAAATTTATAGAAGAAAAAAGATTAGAATATACTAAGTGAAATATTCTTCAATGTTCGTCGTGTTTTTTTATAATCGTGTAACAAGAAATTTTTAACAGCAAAATCCAATGGTAATTGTTCATCAAACTGATATCTCGTGACATCTACTATAGAATTGTATGCAAATAAAACCTGATTGGTGAATAGATATAATCGTTCTTTTCTCTTTTTTTTCTTCTTTTCTTTACTTTCTTTATTATGTTTTTTCTTCTTCTTTTCTTTCTTCTCGTCGTTGTGTCGCTTTCAGTTCTCTCCGTTTAGTATTTTTTTCCTTTTTGGCCTTTATTCTCCTTCTTTCCATCATCCATGTCTTGGGCGAGTTGCCATCGACCGCCGTCCTTGGTTCTTCACCTACCCTATGTCTTTTCTATTTCTTTTTTTTCTTCTCTCATTCGTTCGAATGCACATATTTATACGCTCAAATCGACGTCGCCTTTATTGCGATCACTTCTTTTTTTTTCTTCTTTCCTCTCTAGTTTGCATAGCAAGTAAAAGAAAGAGAGGCAGGAAGAAAAAAATCACCACCACTACTACCAACCGAAAGATGTGTGTAGTGCGAAAATGTATGTTGATAGTTGTTTCTGTCTTTTGACAACGTTGTTCTTTATTTTCTCTCTCTCTTTCGCTCTCGCTTTTTAGTCGTTGAAAAAAGAACACAGAACACTTTTCGTCTGTCCTCTTCCCATTAGATAATTCATGAAGATAATTTTTTCAGACTAATGACCAAGAGAAACGATCAACGTAATACTCCGTCCGGTTGTGGGACTACTACAACCTTAAGCGAGGGTATTATCGTTCAGCAACAACCTGTTAGCGAACAGCAGCAACATTTCGTATTATCTCCCGTGAATAATTCAGCACCGATGATTATTACTACTCCACTAGGTAACAAAAACATAGTCGATAATTTGTTTCGTTCTCTTAAACATTTTCTTTAGCTGTTCCATCCATAATCACTCAAAAATTGCCAACGACAGCACCGACGAACCAGCAGCAAGCAGTTGCAACTGTGACAACTACTCCTGTGGGCGTAGCTAATACGGCCATTGCAAATAAAACGACAAAACCAACATCTCAAGAACGATTGGTTTGTAGTCTTTGTAATAAAGTCTATCGATCATCAGCTGGCCTCCGATATCATAAGCGGAAACGACATCGAGGTACGGAAATAGAAAATAAAAACTTACCTATCATGCTATTATTATTCTTTTTTTTCTTTTTTTCGTTCGGAAATATTCAGATGAGGGTATGCTTAAAGCAGCTCAATTGCATCGAGTACGTTGCTTAGAAAATGGATGTAATTATCAAATGCTAGCGATATCAGACTTACGAAATCATTTGGCTAATCATCACTTAAAACCAGAATATAAAACCACTGAAGAAAAAAAATTTAATTCATTTACTGGTAAGAAAAATAAAGCGTATATCAATCTTCTATAGACTTTATGGTAGATTTCAATTATATACCGCGATTGATCGGATCTATTTATAGTTATGACTATTCGTTAATAGCTTCTCTACGTGTCATTATAAATATATATATATATATATATATATATTATATATATACAACCAATAGATGACAGAATTTATTTACCATATATTACATTGAAATTGTTTTTAGCCATAGCCGAAAATAATTTTTTCTTGACTTAATCTATATAGTTAAAATATTTATTAAAAATTTTAGTTTCAAATATAAAATTAAATTTTGATTATTTTCTATTAAAATTTTGCTTTTAATCTATTTGATTAGAGGTCTAGGAAATGTGATATATATTAAACAATTGTTTTGTTAAATAAAAAATTACATTTTTCTTGTTGATTCAAATAGTATTAAAAAGAAAAATTGCAACAAATACGATCAAGTATTTTACACTTGAATAAAATTATTTAAAACGGGTCATTTACTTGGTATTTTTTCTGTTTAGATATAAAAGTTTATCGATCAATTTTAGTATTTCTTATTCGAGACCCAAAGAGACTTTCTTTCTGTAGCATCGGTCTATACATTGAGTGGTTATAAACTTTTCCAACGGACAAACATATACCTTCGATGTAACTGTCACAGTCTGTTTTTTTTTCAATATGAAAATTGATATAGTAATTAAATTAACTTGTTACTATACGATGGCAGGAAATTCAATTATACCAAAACGACATGATGATATAAAATATTTATTGGTTAAATTCGAATAGTGTGTTGGATTTTACGTTAAACTTTGAAATTATTTCTCATGCGTCTACCTAAATTCTGCGTATCAGCATTACCTTCTTTTAAAACTTATCGAGTGCCTTGATTTTTGGTTTGTTACCATTTTCAAGGCATTACTTAAAACTATCAGCTTAAATCCTAGTCTATCAGAACGATAATTTTTGTTGAAATGAACGTGATAGTTCTTGTCTATTATTCATTATCCAATAGAAATGATATGTACTTCGAAACATGAAAAAAAAAACTTTTTAGTCTTAATTATCGTTTTTTTTCTTTTTCGTATAGAATTTACCGAATGGAAAACTGCTTTTGAACAAAGTAGTGGTTCAAAATATGTGAAAAATTGTGGATCAAAAGGAAAATCAGAGAATCAAACAACCGAGTATTACTATTGTAATCGTACAGGATTATGTAAGTACAATTTATGTTTTAAAAAACAAAAAAAATTCTCAAATATATTTTCTTTAGACAAACAAACGCGACAAGGATGGCGCCGTAATTCTAAAGCACATGATTCTATTCGTTGTGGTATACATTGCACATCATCTATGAAAGTTGATATAGCTCGAAACGATCAAATCTCCGTACAGTATTATCCAACACATTATGGGCACACAGCTGAACCCCCATTGCAAGTACCAGCATCAGCTGCAACTACGAATGCAACACTAGCAACAACAAATGGTGATTTAGTTGAACAAGCATCTGTTCAAAAACAAACAATTCCGCCCATTCAAACAGTTGTACAAACCACTGTTCAACAGCAGCAAACAACAACTGATCATTGTGTTAGACTTCAACATCAACATCATACACAAACATCAAGTATTATTATTAATATTGCGCCTGTAAGTACATTGAATTGTTTCATTCTATTGAATAATATAATTAGACATAACTTAAATAACTTTTGAATTATTTCCGATTAATAATTAAACGGAAAAGTTATAAAAGTAAATTTTCTCTACAGACAAATTATAACAATATCAATATGAATTTATCCCCTACTGTTTTCTTTTTCCAGGTAAATACAACGATTATCAAATGCGTATGATTTCTTTTTCCTTTCAATTGACATCAATTGAACAACGAATATTAGACTTATGATTAATTGCATAACAAAATTTCCCTTTTCTCCCAACTCATTGAAAAATAAAATGATAACTGATATTGAAACCTTTATCTATGATTAGTTAAACAGTGAAAAATAACTATCATTTCTATCTAAGAACGAAAGAAAAATAAGGTTTGTTTTCTATCTTGCGTATGTCACACATGTTTTTTGTACAGTGGCTTTCTTTTTCTCTCTCTCGCTCGTTTTCTTCTATATATATATATATATATATATAAGCATCTAACGCCCGGTTTCTTAATAAAACACATGCGCGAGCACTTTTCCTTCCGTGCATATATATATATATATATATATATATGATAATTAAAACCGTTGTCGTTTTGTTGTTTTTTACTTGTTGATAAATATTTTCGTCTATAGTTCTTGGCCTCGTTTTCTTTTTTCGTGTCTGTATCTGACTATTTCTTTGTTATTCTTTAACCAACAACATACATGTCTGTTTTTTTTGTTTTGTAGCGACGCCTTCTTTTTTCGTTTTTTTTCTTCCAAAAAATTGTTTGTTCGTGTTTTTTTTTCTTTTTTTAATTTCGAATATAACCGATGAAAAAGAAATTCTCTAGTAAATGTCATTCATTCAAAGTCACGCCTAACGGAAATGTAAACGTATCTATATCAAGACGGAAAATTTCATTAAATATAATAATATGATTAATTATTTCTCTTTCAGATAAATTGATTTCTCTACATTCACATTATAATGACTAAGAAAAGTTCTTCAGTTGCATCGTCACCAGCAGCTTCAGTTGATAATGTTGTTGCAGTCGGTCGGTTTGTTTGTTCGATGTGCGCAAAAGTCTATCGATCTGGTGCTGGATTAAGGTATCATAAACGAAAACGTCATCGTGGTAAGTTAGTCTTATCTGAGAACTTTTTGTAGTATGCTGCTTTGATTGACTATTTTACGTTAAGTGATATCTTTCGTATTTAGGGATCTTTTAGAAGAATAGATTTCTTAAATGAGTCTAATAAAACAAATCGAAATAGATAAATTTAGAAATTATGTATTGTCTGTTTTCTCTCTGTTGGCGAAGGCATGGTTGAACCAACTGCACTTCACCGAGTCAAATGTCAAGAACTAGGTTGTACATATCAGATGTTGGCTATTTCTGATCTTAGGTAAGATTTCTTGAAGAATAAACAAAAAAAGTTCGCTTTGAAATGAAAGATGGAAGCACTTTTCTTTTTTTTTTTCGACTAATTTTTTACAGGGATTTTTACTCTGTATTATAAAGAACGAGTGGAGATTCAAAAATTGTTTATTTTCAAGTTAAAGTGACATTTGTTTGTTTTTGTTTAATTGAAAACGTTTCATATATGACGAAGATTATTTGCTTTTCGTTTTGGGTGAAACTTGTGGATTAAAAACAAGACATCAATCATAGATTTCTACGTATCAATAGATGCTTTCGAATAATTTCCGAATCCATACGTGTTAAATCATTCTAGTTACGATAGGAATTATTACTACTAAAAGTTTTGATTTGAGTTTCGAACTTGGTGAGAAACCTTCTCACCTAATGATTTGTAATCATTCGATGAAATTTGTAGACATGAAATATTCATCATAAGACGCATTTCTATCTTCATGGGAAATATCATATCCCCAATGATAAAACTTCAGGATCGATCTTTCTCAATACTAGGTTTCGGCACTACGAGAATTTTTTTTTCCGTTTATTTAGATTTAGTAATTATCATGCCCAATGCATCTCCTGCAGCATATTGACTGTAATCATGTAAGAATCGGATCATAATTGGCTGTCAATTTTAGAATGGCAACTGTCGAGTTCGATCCCATTAGGTTCTGCCCTTCCACTCCTCCTTCTCCTCGTCCTAAGTCTCATATCAGATATCAATAACGTTTCATTCTAGTATATGAATGACTTTCTTATTTCATTTCTACAAGATTGAGTAAGAGAAGAAATGCACCCCAAAAATAGATAAGATCAAACTATCTTCCTCGCTGATTAACAACAGTAGTTAGATCATGTTTCATATTTATATCTTTCAATGACCGCATCAGTCTGTTTTTCATTAGCTAGTCTTCATGGTCTTTTCTATTTAGAAATCATCTCGCTAATCATCATCAAAAACCTGAATATAAATGTACAGAAGAAAAAAAATTCACAAGTGTAGCAGGTAAAATTTTTCTACATGCGTTCCTTGAGTTTATAATGTTTTTATTTGAACAGATTTTACCGATTGGAAATCTACATTCGAAACTAGTACTGGTTCGAAATATGTTAAAAACTGTGGTGCCAAGGGTAAATCGGATAATCAAACAACAGAATATTATTATTGCAATCGAACCGGACCGTGTGAGTGATATCAACTAAAAAATATTTTCTTTGAAAAAAATTGCAACAATTTAAGATAAAACAGTTGGTCAAGGTTTACGCCGTAACAAAGCACAAGGCTCATTGCGTGGCGGAATTCATTGTACATCATCAATGAAAGTTGAAATACAAAATGATGAACATATTACTGTTCAATATTATCCAGCTCATTATGGACATTCAAATCTACCAGCATCTGATGAACCACAACATTTATCTGAAAATAGTACAACTATGACCGGTGTTAATATTCATCATCAACAGCAGCAGCAACAACAACAACAACAGCAACAACAGCAGCAACAACAACAACAACAACAACAACATCAACAACATCATCATCATCATCACCAACAGCAACAACAGGATAATTCACAACAGGGTGCTGATCGTTCATCATCGTCATCGCCAGGTTCGTCATCAACAAGTCCTTCTGGTGGTTCGAATTCAAATTCAAATCATCCACCGATGAACATTGAAAGACAATCGATGACACAAGCGAACTCTTTTCTTAAGAATAATCAAACTAATATTAACAATACTACTATAACTAATAATATTTATAATAATCATAATATGAATCATTCAATGCAAAATCAAATGTCTCATTGTATAATAATATCACCGTCGTTTATGGTCGAAGAAAATCTTTCTACACATTCAAACCATCATACGCCGGTGTTTGTTGTTCAACAACATTTACCGACATCATCGAATGCTATAATTAGTCCTCCAGCGAATTTACCGATTAAAAAAGAAAAATGTGTATCAGATATAATGCATGAAGCATTTCAGTTATTATCCTATTGGCCGTTGGATCATCATCATGGTTTAATAACGTCAGAGAATGAACAACAAATTTCCCATTCTCGTTTTAATATGGATGAACATCTTATGTTCTGAGTCTGCTGTTTTCTTCTTTTTTACATTTTTTTTCTTTCTCATGCGTGATCAATTAATACGTCCTTTCGTTCTTCTCTCGTGTTTACTGAAAACAGTGTTTGTATTTTGAACAACATTGAACAAAGTCTCCTTTTGAGACGTACACAATCATGATTTTTTTCATTCCTTTAATATAACTTTGTTTTTTTTTCTTTTGCGGGTATTTTTGTTTTTGTTCTTACTGTGCTTGCCACGCACATATACCGATAATTATTCTTATTACACATACACAAAAACGAAGAGATCTTTATCTTGTTATCTCTTTTATGCACACGCAGTTTCCCTTTTGTTTGCTCTTCTTTATCCTTGTTTTGTTACGAGGAAAATATAGAACAATATAGAAACATAAATATATTGATATGTATATATGTTAAAAAAACTTTTTTTGATAATGATTTTAACTATCGATTATACGAATAAAAATGTGTAATTATCCATTTATTTCCAGATTTTATGTTACCATGTGAAATTGTTTCATTCGTGTTCCTTTTTCTTGCTACTATTGTTCAGACTCAATTATAATCACAGGGGCCATTAATGACGAATAATAGCCAACTAATATCATAATATAACTCAATTATCGTACATCGAAATGTACTCAGTGAATTCATACAAAAGAATTTAGCTCATTTTATTTTCATGAAAGAAACAGCCACTCATTGAGTTTGTGAATACAAAACTGAAACTAAGATTTAAAAATTTCTCTTTAAATTATGTACTATATTCTTTAATAAACATCGTCTGTAATAACAAACCAATCAACATAATGAAAAAACAATTTGTTTTCTACCAGGTGATTTGCTATCTCCAGCAATCAAAACCACTTTTTTTTATGTTTTCGCCAAGTTAATCTTTTAATACTCAAGGCCATCAAAACACGTGCATTCGATTTTCGACAAAACAAAACCTGTATATAATCTAGCTCATAACAAAGAAATAAAATGCATACTCTTTCATTTAAAATTATGATTACGATTTCTATTCGATAATATCCTTTGCTGATTTTTTTGTAATAGAAGATGCATTGATCTTCATGATCATTATTTTGCCTGCGCGTTCTTTTTTTTTCGTAGAACTGCAATAATACAAAATTAGCATCATGGATTCTGTACCATTTACTGAACGACGTAATGCATTAACAATGAATATTGATGCAGATGCAATAGGAGGTAGGCGAAATTTAAATACGATTGATTTTTTGCTTCGATGATTTATAAACTATCTGTGATTTGAAGATTTCTTCCAATGAAAATGATTATGAGCATATAGATGCAAACTGTAGCATTGTGTATTACAGTAAAGATATCCATCGTCGATTTAAATTTTTCATTTATAGATGCTGCTGATCGTCTACATGAATGTAATATGGAAGTTTTTAATGGTTATGAAAATTATAAAGTAAACATCGATCTCTTTTTTATGGCAGTAAACAGAATATTAATTTAGGGTTTATCTGATGATGACTTTTTGAATAAACTCGATCAACTTGTTATACTGGTTAAAGGAATTTTACAAGTATTATGAGTATTTTTTTTAAATGCTTAAATGAATGAATTGTTTAGAATGAAAAAGGTATTATTGTAATCAGTGGATGTGGTACATCTGGTCGAATCGGTTTTCTTGCAACTGTAAGTTCATAAAGTGAACATAAAAGCTATTTGTAAAAAAAGGAATGAATTTAATTTTTTGCATGGTTTCCATTCAGACATTTTTTAATCAACTTTGTCTTCAAAACAATCTTCCGAAAAAATATCATTATATTATTGCTGGTGGAAATAGGTAAAAAATACCTTTTCTAGGCTTTTTATTTTACTAATTAGTTTTTATTATGTTAAGTGCTCTTGTTACATCAGTCGAAGCAACTGAAGATGATCCTGTCGTAGGTGCTGCCGAACTGAAACATGTTAGTGAATCATTTGAACGCGTTCTTTTTATTGGTATAACTTGCGGTTTATCTGCGCCATTTGTTGGTGGCCAACTAGAATATTGTTTGGATAATCCAGAAAAATTTATCCCAGTTCTCATTGGATTTAATCCTGTTTCAATGGCACGACAAATTCGCGTTCCTAAATGGTCGGAGGGAAAAACATTTTTTGGTGTTGCATCACGAATGGAAAAAACATCGGGTGCACTCATTCTTAATCCAATTGTTGGACCAGAACCGATATCTGGTTCATCAAGAATGAAAAGTGGTACAGCAACAAAAGTTATGCTCGATACAGTTTTCTATTTGGCATCGACTAATACGAACGCTAAAGCAAGAGATGTGATTGAAGAGTTCAAAATTACAATTGAGAAAATGAAAAATGAAACAACAGATATAGCGAATGTTATTCAGCAAGCTGGAGACTGGTAAAACAAAAACGAAATAAGTTGTTTTCCGAACAACAGTTGTTATAGAAATTGATTTTCATTCTGTATACTCGCATTTTACCTCCTTGATCTTATACACTGTTCATACAATATTAGATAGTACTTTGACAATTCTACGAAAGTATAATATTGTATCGAGCTTCGTTTGTACGGCAATACAGAATGATTGTCAAAGTTCAAATGTTTAGCTGTTTCTAATCCGAATAATGAGAGTTCCTATTGAATCAAATGATGTTTTGCTGTCGTTTGAATGCCGATAAAGAATACTAAATTTTTCACTCGTGAATATTAAGGTCGTTTTAGATCGTATTGGACTCTGCTCTTACAATATTCTTTCATTCGTTTCATTTTTAATACGTAATGGAATACATGAATAATAGACAATAGCTATTTAATTTAGTTTGATAAATCATGGCTATATTCGTTATGTTGGTTCATCGACATTTGGCATTTGGGGTATGATTGATGCATCAGAATGCGTACCAACTTACAATTCTTGTTCGTATTTTTTCTCATGATTTAATACTCATCTTGCGATTTCTTTTTCTTCATAGCTTACGATGATATTCGTGGTTTTATGACCAATGATTATTTCAAGAAAAGTTTAAACCATGAATCAGCTGATTCATTGGTAAGTAAAATAAATCCCATGTGAATTCTATTTCTTTGCTGTGCAATAGGTTTCACCTGCATTGGACCAATCAACACCTGATGATTTATGGAAAATATTTCAAGATTTGCCACCATCAAGTTTAATTATTTTCATTGATCGAGGTATAAATTCAAATATTAAATACGAGTTATGTAATTTTTTAAAATTTTGAATGTAATAGAATATCATTTGCAAAAAACTCTGGTCGATAAACTTCAACAGAAAAATCATCGTATTGTTTGGATCAAGCTTTTGAGTACTGAATCCTTAGAAGCGGTTAGTTTTTCTGATTGAATGCACTCGATGAAGAGTATCTTTATGTATCTATGTAGAAATCTAATGTGCAAATGATTGATTTTAGTAAATCGATCACATCAGCGGATGTCATTAAGCAATATCTAATTGCTGAATTGACATTAAAACTATGCTTAAATACAATTTCAACAGCGGCACATGTTTTAAAAGGAAAAGTTTATCAAAATATAATGATTGATGTTCGCGTTAGGTATTTTTGTTTTTCATTGTGTACTTTTTGTTTTATTTATCGAATAATTTAGTAATATAAAATTATTCTATCGTGCTATTGATATAATTAAAGTAAGTTGTTATTGATTGGATTATAGATTGATGAATTTTTCTTTGCTTTTATTTAGTTATTAACCGGTGCCGATAAACAAACTGCAGAAAAATGTCTTGTTCAATCAATTTATCAAACCAATGATGAAATCAATACTCAAACTATTGAACAACATATTACAGCTGTAGCCAATAATAAAAATCATGTAAATGTGTTTTGATTTGATTTGCTCATCGATAATAAATAATGATTATATTTTTAGGTTGTACCTATTGCTTTATTAATGTGTCTTTCAAATTATTCGTATACACAAGCTAAACTTCAAATTGATAAATGTCCAAGAATTCGTGATATTTGTACTGGCAATAATTGACTATTAACATAGTTATTAGTTTTTATTTTCGAATAATAATTTATGAGAAATTATGCAATCGCTTTATTGGGTTGCCTATGAATGATGAATCATATAGGAATAAATAATAGAATGCAATATGTTTTGATAAATTTTCGAATGTTATAGCTTTTTTTCTAGATTTGTTTATCCCAACGATACACCGTTATTCATTTTTTCGTATAGAGACCAGCAAGCATGAGAAGATACAAGCGTAGAATATATGCAATCATAGATATCTAGAGAGTTCAGTCGCTTTGTTGTTGGAACTATCAATCTACATCAACATTTAGGAAACTTGTTAAAAATTATTTTCTTTTGCATCGAACGTCCGTGTGAACTAAAAATGCCAAATTAAGCCAGTAAGACTCACTTAAGAGTTGATCATTATATTTTTTCATTTTTAACATTGACCTTGATGAGAAGTAAACTACAGAACTACTTAATAATTTCAAGAAGCGTCTGACACCTAGATTCTAATAGAACAATTCGAGTGCACTCTTCCTCGTGAGTGTTTAATTCTTTCTATTTAACATTTTGAAATTTCTATTCTATGATAACGATAGTTACCAGTCAGCCATATTCTTTTTTGTTTCTCATTGGATGCTACATTGAGCATATGTCGTTTTAAAATACTTACACCGTTTTACTATTTTAATATATTAATGTCGATTATGTCCTTGTCTAATCGAAAAACATATTAAAGCTATCGGAGGAAATTGAAAATATCTAAAAAATGAAATATTCATTTTGTTACTTAGAGTTGCTTTGAAATCTTCACATAAATGTTCTACACGAAGCATTCTACCATAGTGTTAAATAAAAAAAAAGTATTCAGCTATATAATTTAATATTCTTCTCAATGGTAGATAGTACAGCATATATGGAAAAGAAGTGAAAAAAAAGCATATCTGGATAACCTTCGCGTACTGACATACAACATTCTTAGTCTCGACCTCGACTGTCTTATCGCAAAGAAGTAGAAGTACAGAAAACAAAAGAAAAAATAATAATTCGTCATCATTATAAAGCTGAATACATTATATGTATATGCATAACCATTTACATAAGGACTTTTTTAGATTTATTTTTCGTTTTATCATCAGTAGATATGTCAGACGTTAAATGCAGAAACGTGCTATTAGTCGGTGCTTCTGGTAATGCTGGTAAAAATATTTTACCGGCTTTGCTTGCCGATACTAATTTTAAAGTTAGCGTTCTTTCACGTGCTGATTCATCAGCAACTTTTCCAGCAAATGCCAATATCATTCACGTTAATTATTCAGACAAGCCAGCTCTTGTTAAAGCATTAACTGGTCAAGATGTTGTCGTTTCTGCTGTGGGCGGTGAAGCTCTATTGAACAATCTAGACAAAAGTATTATTGAAGCTTGTCTTCAAGCAGGTGTTAAATGGTTTATTCCAGCAGAATATGGTTTCGATTTCAATCATGATTCTGCTTCATCAATTCCTATTAACAATGGTCGACTTGAGAACATCAAAATACTAGAAGAAAATCAATCAAATATTGCACATACTTTTGTTTCTACCGGTGCTTTTCTTGATTGGGGTCTTGATACTGGTTTTCTAGGTTTTGATATAGCCAATCGCAGGGTAACACTCTATGATCAAGGTAAAAATTTGGTATCCGGTACGATCCTTAAAAATCTTGGCAAAACCATTGTGGCTATTCTTCATCAACCTCAATTAACCTTAAACAAACGAATCTATATTGCTGATGCGACATTTACGCAACAAGATATTTTAGCTCTTTTTGAGAAATATACAAACGTTAAATGGGCGGTCAAACATGCCACCACAGAAGAAACTCTTAAAAATGCTGAAGAAGCATGGACAAATGGCAATGTTTTGGATGGCTATATCGGATTCATTCTAGGATTGGCTTATAGTGGCAAAGGTGCATGTGATTTCGAAGATAAGATAAACAATCAAGATTTAGGATTGGAGAGAGTCTCATTGGAACAAGCCATCAAAGAAGCGGTTCAACGAAACAAAATTAATGTTCATTAACTGTTTTTTTTTCATGTTGATGTAGATTAGCCCTCAAAGGGAGTGCTGAAATACATAGGTAAATTTTTTTACATTGCATTCTACGGACATGACAAATATATAAGCAAAACAGCATTACACGTCATATGTTAGATATAATCACGCTTCAAAATATGAGCTATTTCCTTAATCTATTTCCGAGAATTGAAATATAAATTTACGAATTATCTACTGGTATTATAGGAGCACTAAAGCAGAATGTGATGGATATTCAATTTGTGATTTTCAGTAAATTTATAGGCGATTATGAAAGTGCGTTTTGGATAATTTTCGGATGATGAAAATTTCGTTTCTTAATGCTACAAGTAAAACAAGACAAAATACTCATCTACATTACAATAAACATATCGGCAATCACTTTTTATGACATAGTTAGTAATAAATGTGATGTTAAGAAAAGACAATGAAATAGCTATTAAACAGAAATTTAATGATCACCTGTGACCCCTTTTAGCACCCCGCTATGTCTGTTATAGTGCGATATAACGGCAATATGAACCAATATTGCGCGCTATAGCGTTTCATATTTCACTACCTTGGCATTTCTGTACGCCCGCACTCTCAGTAGATCTAGCCACCCAGGTGAACCAATGTCGGATCCGACAGTCGTATTTCCAATGATATCCGATTGCTGGAACCAATGAAATCCGAAGCATTCCGGTTCCAATTGACGGTTACTGTCGGATTTTATTAGTTTCCGATATTAGGATCCGATATCGATTCCGGAACCAGGAATCTGACGATAATCCGATCGTTTCCTTGCGCCTTCCGAAGGGCTCCGTCGGATCCCAATAGGAACCGATCGGAGCTCATCGGATCCTAGGCTAGGATTCATTCTCCTGGGTCTAAGTAATTCGAATGCCGTCTTATTTATTTTCGAGCTACTGTAATAAATATAATATCATGATTACATTTGATAACGTCCTGCTAAACAGAAACAACCGTTTGTCGTGGAATGGCTTTATTTATTGACCTCAACCTCGAAACTTTCAAAAAAACTTCTGGACCCCAAAAACATATACGTAGTACAATGAGAAAATAGCATAGAATTAGTCAGATAGTTAAGGATAAATAAGGTAATAATATCAGCATCACTTCGATACTATATAGTAACAGCAGGCACACAAAGATATACACATCAAACATCCATTTGGAATCCAGTATATAAGAACTACAGCGTTCGTCAAAGCTTGCAAGGGCTTCGCGCAATACGTAGCCGTATCAGTAGAATTTGTACTCTGTCGGTACTTAGCTGCCTGATCGACGGATGTAAGTGTTCCTCCATACATGTAGAATGCGAATAGAAAAGTATGCAGCAGTGTTGACACAAAACTGCTTAAGTATGATAAAGGTGATCCAATATTCTTCATATCTGAGTATAAGATGAACAAGATACTAAAAGGAGCAGCAACCAGCTCCACAGTACCGGAAATAATATGGAAGTTGGGTATCATCTGATTGGCTGGACACTGATCAAAATAGATACCACCCATAATCAGTTGCACTAAAGCTACACACACAATACAAACATTGAACAAAAAAAAGAAAATGATTTGCGTTGCTAAGATACCATGCGTTTACGTAATTTGCGGAGTGGACAAATGTTCTACAGAAATATCGAAAAAACGTATTTAAATATCAGCTTTATTAGTAATGAATGACTTTCATTAACAATTATTATGCAAAATATATACTGGTAGCTATATTGGAATTTTCCAATCAAGTCAAGAACGACAGACGGCTTCATTGGTTACACAAACGGAGGTAATGAAGAAGCACTTGATGTACTCTTTGTGCAGGCAGGAAGAAAGAGAGGAATATCATCAAAAAAGGTGTGGTAGTTTGCTCCAAGCGTTTAGTGTACACACTGACTCCCGCCCACACCCACACCCAGTTCAACTTTTCAAACGGAACAACACAGGACAAAAATGAAGTAATTACATTTTCTCTTCTTCCTTATCTTTTTACAAATAATAAAATAAATTGTTATTTCTATGTTTTAGTTCAATTCAACAAACAATTAAATGAAAACGAAAACAATTGTATATTTTTTTGGTGAGCCGGTTACTTGCTCGCTTGAACATTTGCTCGTGAGGGTGGGTCGTGGGTGCGGGTGCGGGTGTCAGTATGGGGTTTATAGCGATACATGGCAAATACAACCACATCCCACACCCCGCACCCTCAATATAGTTTTTGATGTACCGGGTACCGATCCGGGTCTAGCAATTTTAATCGGACGGGTCCGGGTTCGGGTTCGGGTAAGAAAATTCTGATTGATCGGGTACGAGTCCGGATCTGGGTCCAAAAAATTTTGGACTCAACGGGGTATAGTATTGACGCAATGTTAGCGCAGCGAATAAAATTTTTATAATTACACAATTTATACTAATATTTGGTTCATCTGATAAATATTGAACGTTTTAAATGTTACTTCCATAAACAAAAGTCACACGCAAATACTAGAGTCTGGTATCGGAATTTCGCAGGAAATAACTGATTTCTATATTTAATTCATAAGAGTAGGTTTTCCTGTGCCGGAAAAAATAAACATTTATTTATCCATCCATTTAAAAGCTGATGAAAATATTTTACTTATCGCTGAGAATATATTCAGTCGCTTCACGTGTCTTTTTTCCTAATTTTATGACTGTATATAATCTAGAAAATTGTGTAGTGCATTTGTGCTTTTATTCGTTTTAATAGAATCATTTTGGCAAATATCCATAAACTCATGGGCTAACTCAATGTTCATCAAAAGAATCGTTTCGTTTTTGGGCGATATCTGAGGCGTTATGTTATTTTTTCTGCAGTACAGGGTGTCCCAAAAACAAATGCCCCTTTACTTATTTTTCGCAATATTTCGGCTAAAGTTCATTCTCATATCTTGATCTTTGTTTTTCTAAAAATCTAGAAAAATAAATTAAAAGTTTCGATGAAAAAAATATGTTGTTAAATTAAGTTAGAGCGAGCGTATAAGTATATCCTTTATAAAGACATGCAATTAAGTTTGTTTCTGGCAAATATTCTCAAGTAAGTAGTGTTTTATAAAAATTGAGCCTAAAATAGGTAAGATTTTTCGAACGCAGTTATGTTTGACGACCTGATGTAGTATGCATTTCTCTCAAATCAGAACTAAATATAAGATACTAAGGTTTATATTTGGTCGATCGATATAAATCGTTCTGATAACTTCTCAAATGTTTCATAAAGAGAATATTTTTAAATATATTCTCGAAAAAGAAATATTTTAATTGGATACTAAACATTGTTGCTTCCATTTTTCTGATATAATAAGAAGAGAGAGCTGTTCAAACGCAACAAAGTTATTGTTTCATTTTTTGGTGAATTCAATACTATTGTAGGCATACAAGAAAAATAATTCTGTTATATGCTTGAAAGTTATATATTTCGGATGACTGTATTATTGATTATTTAGTTTTTCACCTTGATTCTTTTTTTATCGAAGTTTATAATTAATTTTTTTAGATTTTGAGAAAAAAAGTAAGATCAAGATGTAAGAATTAATTTAACCCGAGATACTTCAAAAAATAAGTAGAGGGATATTTATTCTGGCACACTAATAACTTACCTGTTTATGGAGAAATCTTTCTTTTAATCAGATTAGCATTGCCGTTTTGCTTCCGTTTTTTAATAATATTATATACGAGGCAGATTGAAATTCAATGCCTGAAAAAGTTATTAGTACTCTAGAAGACAGATGAGTATCTGTGCCAACGGCAATCCAAAGTGCATCTCCTTTAATGAATCTCAACTCATATTAAAACATATCATAGTGAATGGAGAGAATATTAGGTTTTTTTTATCATACTTTCTTTGTTGGAAAGGGAAATGAAAGATATTAGTATGGCTAGTGATGAATGAGAACCTATGTAAATGCAAGAGTAAGTGTTACATCTCTGATATGTTATTTGAACATGTTTTTTACTTGAATGAAGCAAACAATATGGAATGAATGGTAAATCAATCGTTGCTACATTGTAAATTGGTGTAAAATGATGTTGAAGATAAGTTGTAGTAGAATATTGTTCATTGAAGGATGCTTTAATTAAGAAGAATAATCATGTGGCATTTTTATTGGAAATAAGGGTGAATATAAATTTCATGCGCCAATGATCGATGAAGAAGTTTTCGAAGGTTATTAAAAAACTCAAAGCTGCAGTAAGAATATTCAGTAGCATGAGATATGAATATCTCAACAGAATAACCCAATGTTGTTAAAGTTTCTAAGCACTTCTGAGTATATAAAATTCAGCAATTCTTCTTTCATTGTAGAGCATATACTTTTTTTATTTTCAGATAAGATATCTTCGGCGTTTTTTCGAATTTTCCCATTGGCATGCATTTAGTGTGATATCTAAAAATATAGCAATCCATATCTAAATTATATCAATATTGCCTAACTTAATACAGTAGCATCTATTCGGGTGAAAGGATGCCTTAAAAAAATGTTTGATCTAATTTTGTAATTCAACATCTTCTAAATCAATTAAATATCTGAATTAAAAAATGTTCTGTCTTTTAATTCAATGTATTATCACTTTTAACAAATGACTATCAATGAATTTATCGACTTATCTAATTAATTTGAACGTAATTTATAATTGATCAGTAATTAGCAATTAATTGAAAGAGTATATATGAGCTGGGAATGACGATAAGTGATAAGAAAAAAGTTAGTTTAAAAAATATCTTGAGTGCGGTGTGGGTGTGAAGAGAGATAAAAACACCCACACTCCACACCCTCAAGATTTTTTCTATTACTTCAATAATTAATGGGATATAACTTTGTGTTATTAGGTAGTGTTATTTAATAAATTAGATATATATTTATTTTAAAACTAGATATAAATTGCTATATTTTTAGGTATTGGCTTATATTTATCTTTACCCCTTTCCCATTCAGGTAGTTGAGAGAATCTTCTTGTAAGAGAAATCGTTCAACAAAATATTTATTAGAATGTCAAGCCTTAACTAACAAGCGTGATATAGCATAAAAGAATGATATTAGCTCTTTATATTGCATTCTCTCTTCGATCACAGCTTGGTGGCTTTTTCATACTAAAATTCTGTTATAACCACACAGCCAATCCTAGGATAAACACTGGTAGATCTATATATGGAGATATAATATTGTGTACCGGGTTTCTTGAGTAAAATTGAGAAGGTAGGTGAGCGAAGGAATTATATATCAAGTGAAGGTCAACATCTTTAGTTACTATATGTATGAACACACGTTGTAAAACTCCATTGTAGGGATGATAACACTTAGCTCGTTTCTGATTAATATCCAGCATGTGAATGTTTGTAATAGTTTGGTTTATGGTGGATGTAAGTGTGCTTGTTAGTAATAATGTGGTATATAATAGAGATTGTCCCTATCTTGTTTTTGCTTCGTTTAATATTTATGATATTTTTTATCGTAGCTTTTTAGAATTTCATCTTTTTAATAAAGACCACACTAGCCATATTTTTTAGTCAAACAATATATTTTTTGTGAAACACGATCTGAAAGGAGTGGAAGTATATAGGGTAGAAATTTGGACCCACCCCGCCCCCCCCCCCTGCCCAGACAGGGACAGAGAAATTAATTAATTATTTAATTTCTCTGTCCCAGTCTGTGAGAGTTTCTGAAGTCCCTCTGCCACGGTCTGTGATGGTGTCTGGATTCTCTGCCACTGTCTATGATGGTCTGTGAAACTTCTCTGTCACGGTCTGTGACAGTTTCCAAAGTCCCCCTGTCACGGTCTGTGATGGTTTCCGAAGTCCCCCTGTCACGGTCTGTGATGGTTTCTAGAGACTCCATACATCATAATACAGACCGTAATAGAGAAGCTCCACAGACCACCAGTGACAGTAATAGACGAATTCCAGAAAAGAAGTTTCATCGTGTTTCACACTTTTAATCCCAAAGGGATTGCGCTAACAGCTTTTTTCTACTAAAAGAATTTCATTGCAATGTTTGTCACACAAGGCAACTAAATGCATCATATTCAATAGAATATTTTGCTTAATAACTTAGAACAAAATACTATCATGATAAATTAACGTTGATATTGAATAAAAATATCTAATACATGAGTGGTGGATAATTACAATCTCTATATCTTCTCAAGTTTGATATAAGTGGACAGTATTTTTTGAAATGATTCAACATTTGATGCTTTAAAAAAAATCATATGCAGATGACGCGCAAAGGAACTTATATAAAACAAAATAGTAATTATAATAGTACTTAGAAGATACAATATTAACAACTCTCATTAGTATTTCTAACCAGCTGACCAGAATGAATGAACTTTTTCTTCTTAGTATTCTTTCCACTGTTCATAATTTCAGTCAAACACTTTTCACACAACGATTGAGCTCAGCGTTCAATTCTGATACGGTCACCTTTTGAACTATACTCGTTGATAATCTGGGTTTCGTACGAACCAACAATTGATAAAATAGAAGTCTTGTAATTATGTCACCACTATTTTTAAATGCAACTGTAAAGGGTCTCGGATAGATGCGTGATGCTTGTTCCAGTCATGAAGCATTAAAAACAATTTAGTCGAGACCTACGATGGTAGCAAATAACAGTAAAATGCCATCATTTGGAGTCGAAGGAGATGTCCAGGATTAATAATTGACTAGAATATTGAACTGAAGTGAAGCCATTATGTTTTTAGATTCGGAAATCAATTTAAGAATTATTTAATATAATTTATTAAGTAGAGTATATCAGTTTTCATATAAGCATCGACATGGTTATAGACTGAATCATTTGAGATGTTTATTTCTGTTATTTTACACACGTTCACGTTTTCATTCTAATTATTCTCTATAATCTAATGCAACCAGAAAATATTCAGTTGGTTGATTTGTTCTCTGATGCTTGCGTTTACCAATATCGGATTCAGATGCAGAACAGAAATACATCGGTATTCACGCTAGCACTTGTAAACATGTCAGTATAGTAAGACGCTCCTATACCCATTCAGAAAAGCATCTGTTTCTCAGATCTGCACTCCATTACAGAAAGTACTCTAATGAACGGGACCAAGCATTAGCATTTTGGATATAGTACAAGAGATATTTTAATAATCATGATGAAAGCAAAATGAATTACTTGATTCATTAGATATTCTAAAAGCGACTGTAACTGCAAGTTCTAGAGTAGTAAAAAGAAAATATTATGTCGATCAACCACCCAAAAAATTGTGAAGCGATTGCCCCAGTTTGAAAAAAACATGTATCTAATTCTAAATCAATAATATGTTTCTTCTTAACATCGTCATTTTTGTATTTTGCAAAGGCAAATCTTGTGAAATCAACATTTAGAACTCTTCTTCGTAAGAAAAATTAGATAGGCATGAAACGTTTGTGCCATTGGATGATCTTTTTCTTTGAAGTGGATGTGCTTTTTCACATTGAGATCAGTAGATAGAAGAATGTTACAAAATTGTTTCGCTTTTTCTCGATTTCTACTTGTTAAAGTAAATGTTTGAACGCATGTTTCAGGATAGCTGAATGTGTGAATAAGTATGGTTATCCTATCAAATTACGGTTTAACTTCATTCGAATCCTTTGTGACATTTCAAAACTATCTTCATTATACTTGTTAAAAAATGTTTCCTGTGTCGATGGTCTATAGTGAACGCCCTGTTAAATTGTTTTTGTATTGGATCTTACCACTCGTTAGCTGTTGCATGTATTGCACATCTGCCAATCACCATTAACATTAGTGATTTAAAACAATCTCGGCCGATTTGATGCACTGCATTGATGGCGACTCAGAATGCTAATGATCGAATGAGTTATTCAGTTGATATATTTGATAGCTTCTTTCATAGAGAAGTTATTCCTACAAGTAACATATTGTAGACTAAAAGAAGCCACTTCTAGACATAAACGAGTAGATAAAGATCGGCAATCTGAACTCTTTCATCCAACCAGTAAATGTTCAATGATACCATGATAGATATAACGTTCTGTCCACGAAGAATGACACTTACCAGTGATGAATCATAATTTTTGAGATTCTATTGTCTACGAGAAGTAACTGAAACAAACAGTCATATGTATGTTGCTGATTCGCAATGTCCTTCTCGATAGATATGCATGTGAGTTAATACTTAAAAAATTTACATTACCATGTTGGACCATAGACGTATAGTGTATACCAAAACAGCAATAGAATTATCCGATAACTGAAAACAAGCTAGCTACATGGATCAAATTTGTTAATTTATCTTCAGATATAGAATTATATTCTAATTTGTAAATGCTATACATATGCAATTGATATGCAGGCATATATGTGTGTCCGCAGCTGTTTAATAATAAAAATTACAAGTGAATATTGTATAGTTATAACAGAGAACCTATACGATCTATTATTTTTATGCATGCAATTGATTATGTTGCATTTTTCAGCAACAATGGAAAATATCTTAAACAAACAGTAAGTTCACACGCGCAAACCAGAGAATTGAAATGTATTTTTCAAGAAAGCATGCATTTTATAAAAATTTTCTCGATTAACTTCACAATAGTTTAATAGAAGAACGCGAATAGTACGTTTGTCTGAAATAACACATACCTTGGATTGCAATGTCAATCAACCATTGCTTGTTTTTCAGGAAAAAAAAATAAGAAAAGGCGTGAAAACATTTTCTTTTCTTTTCTTATGTTTCTAGTCATTTTTCTAAATGTATTTATCGACTTCAATTGATTGTTTAAACAACGACAATAACATTTCAATAAATTTCTTTTTTGTTTCTACAATCCGACGATCAAGCACACACATGACTGACAACGAACATAAACTATCTATAATAGAATCGGAAATATTTCATGCTATACAAAATTCTCAATATAAACGACTTGCATTATATATACGACAAAATTATAATTTAAATGTTACATCAAAAGATGGCCGGAACGGTTTATTCTATGCATTGAATATAAAGGATTCACATAAACGATGTCGAATGATAAGATATTGTTTAGATCATGGAATTAATCCATTACAACGAGATAATGTTAATGGTTTTACAATATTAAATGAAGCTATGGCTCGGCAACAGCTTGATTCATTTCAAATTTTATTTGATGAAATCGGCGGTGAAATCGATTGGCGTGCATTAGATAAACGTGGACGTACAACGTTGCATCAAGCAGTTGAATTAAATAATCTTGTAATCATTGAACCACTAATAACAACTATGGTTCATTATGCTATTTCAGTTGATGTCGTTGATAGAAATGGTTTAACACCCTATTTATTTGCTTTAAAACTTCAATTACCTGATATGGCACAACTATTATTAAGAAAAGGTCATGCAAGTCAGCAAACATGCGATTTAAATACGCATTTCAGTGCACGAGAATGGGAAAGCATTGGCATCAAAGAAAATCGTTCGATTTTTCTTAAAAGAATTCAAGATGAAATGTTCGATGCAATGAAAAAAGGAAAAATAAATAGAGTTAACAAATTGAAACAGATGTATTGTTCAACAGATCAATTGTTTACAAATGATAATTCACGTCGTAATTCAAATTTTACGACGACAACAAGGTCGGGTGTTAATTTAAAATCCTCTCTATCCATTAATGAAATAGCTGATCGATTACGTCATAGTGATATACCTCATAAACATGTCAATAGTAAAAAAACTGAAAAACCATTTCGTTTGGAACCTATGGTGCCAAGATCTTTTCCTCCTATGACGAATCTAAAACGACATGGACCAAGTGCATCGATGAATTCAATTTTAGATTTATTTCAGATAGGTCAGTTATCATCCTGACTGTCGTCATTTAAATACATGTGTCAGAAAATAAATTTCAACGGGAAGGAAACATCGGACTTCACGTTGGAAGTCTAATTTGTTGTTCTTCCTGGATAACTAAAAGATTTTAATAAATTGTCTTAAACAATTATTTCAGACACATCGAAGAGATGAAAATTGAACACGATTTTTATTCTTTAAATACAACGACATAAAAAAGAAAATATTCTTATCCAAATAATGGATACCATCGTTGATGAGTTTGTCGGGGATATTCAAGCATTTTATGCCAATCAGTATCATAACGTGTACGATTGCCGAGTAGAACTGATGTTGAAGAAATACATGCGTCATCTTTTGAATTGAATTCAACGTGGACATATACAGAGTGAATATCATTTTGTGGAATATTTTCCGTGATACTATCTTTTATTTCATAATCAGCTGAGGTAGAACCGTTCAGACTTATGGGAATTTTCTTTTGAAAGAAACGACGACCATTATGAAATAATGTTATTGTTATACGAGCATCTATGAGATACAGAAAAAAAATATAATTTCTGGTGTAAACTGAAAATCCTATACTCGAAGTAGTATCAAATATTTTATGGTTGTAGGTAGGATTTTGTAATTTTGAGACTATTTTTATACACCACTTAATTCAATACATAAGTCTCTATGCATCAATAATCCTCGGAGAAAAGAGTTCGGAATGAGACTCGATGAAATTTATTTTCTCATGTTGATAAATCGGTGATATTAAATGTAATGTGAATTGTAATTTAATTGTTTTTACTGATCGAAAACATACGTATGTAGAGGAAACTATAGAGAATTATATTCTTTACATACCGATGGTCTTGTCTTTTTCTATTTTACATAAATAGCGTAGTTTGTAAATATTAATTGTAAATCGTTCTGCAGTTGGAAGATAACTTATACCAAGCGAAAGTTCTCCAAAATAAGCCTATAATTTAAATTTTAGATTAAAAAAAAATTTAACTAATCAATCGAACTTGAGGAAGAGTTTTAAATTCAACTATTTGTTGATATTTTGGTATCATGGTTGGATTTAAAGGAAGCAATGTTTCAAACATTAAATCTTTCAAACCAGATCGATCCATACAAATCAATAGAAATCGAACAGATGTCAATGGTATATCATTCCTATTCAATTGAAATTGCATGTGTTCATTACATGCCAATGTATCATTTAACGTCCGTAATAAAGCTCTAAAAAACAACATAAAATCGATTTCTATCGCAGTTAAAAGGTAATCAATAACAAACTTTGTTGCTTTTTCCTGTTGTTTTTTCCATGCATTTAATGGCAAACTTGACCGACGTTTTTTTTGTTCGTCATAGAATTTTTTAAACATTTTATTATTTAATAATTGCACATGAATAAAATATTCGGTGGGTTCATCAAATGCTGGATGACGTAAAAAATGTTCACCATTAGTTAAATGAACATTAAGAGAATTATCGAGGATATTTATTTCAAGCTCAACATTTATTTGAGCATAAGGACCTGATAGATTGATATTATTTATCGGGTGTAGTGTACCACTATTTGATAACGATGGACGAGCCGATTGAGAACGATAAGCTTTTCTTTCTAATGTATTATTATCCTAATAGAAGAAGAATAGTTGAGGTAATTGACTAACGGATATAATAATTACATACATGTAGCATAATACCATCACCGTCAGATACTGTTCCATTGGACGATTTTCTTATTATATGTGAATATGGACTCTTAGATAATTTATTAAGATCTATAGTATTCTCAGCTGTATCAATGGATTCGTAGCTTGGTGGTGATGGCGGAATGATAACTAAATTTCCGTTGGTTGTATTCACCAAATTATTTTTCTCTTGATCTAAACAAATAAAAAATGTAAAAAATATTTGTAATTTTCTGAGCCATACTGACTTAATTTATTTTTCGAATCATATTTTCGTCTTAAAGGTGATCGAGGACAAATAAGACAAAGTAAAGTACAGCCAACAAGTGAAACAAATGTTGAAGCAATAAATAGAATTAAAAGTCGTTCAAGTGATGTCAATGATCGTTGTAACGGAAGAAAATAACCCAATCGATCAATGTAATCTTCTCCATCGGCATTATTATCCATGCCTGTGTCATTCATCGTATAAAATATCTCTCCATGCTCTACGAAATCGATTTTTACAAAAATATTTTTCTCTTAAGACTTGGTTATATAAGTGAAAATGAAACAGCTGCATCAAATGCAAATAGCTGTTTCTGATTAAAAACAGAAAGAGAGAGGCTCCTTTTTCTTTTATTTTTCCATTGAAAGAATCATGTCGGCCCTATTTTGTTTTTTTGTATTGCACGGATCAGTTGAATCGTCAATCACACAATCGATATCATGTGTCACAGCCGGCTATTTGATACTATAATTAAATAAGATGCTCGATGGTTTTTTGGCCAGGGTTGTCAATTGCTATGAAGAGTACGAGTGATTTAAAATTCCATCCGAAGCCTTATTTTCCGCGAATACGTTCTTCTATGCCTGTGAAAAACTACGTTTTATATCGCGAATGCCAGTTCATCATAGAAATCAGAAAATATGTATTAATACTGAATAATCAATCAATCATTATTTATTTAGTTTTTGAGAATTTGATCTTAATAGCAGAAAAAAATGAAGAAAAATAAGCATTCAAGCACATATGTATATATACACATCTAGAGCTGAAATTAAACAGAAATAATAATTTTATTGTATCACCGAGAATCGCTCGTGTCTTGTAATTTCATTGGGGTTGCGTTTATGATTCACGCAATTTCGCTAAGCGTTTTGAAAGTTCATCCTGAAGAGACAAAAAGAAAATAGAAAATAATTAAATTTCTTAAGATAAAAATTTTACTTGTTCCGTTTGATGAACGGATGTTGTTGTAGCATGTGCATTTGGAATATTAAGATTGAATTCAATGCCTGCTTCATCGGCCATTTCTTTCATAAGCATAGCAACTTGATCAACCGGTTGTTGAACTGATGTCGCATTTTGCATGGCATCGTCCATAACTTTTGTTTTAACTTCTAAATCTTCGAAATTTTTCTCTAAACTATCCATTAATTTCGATGTTTCAGTTAATGGCATATTAGCTGTAACTTTCGACATTAACGAAACAGTTTGTTTAAGACTCGCTGCCATCTACAGCAAGAAAAAAGAAGCTTTTTAGCATACTTTGATTTTTACTTTAAATTAAAGCAAATTTACTTGTCGTTGAGCAGCAGAATTAGCTACACGTGCTTGTACACCATCGACACGAGCGGCCATTCGTTTACAATTTAAAGATTCACTATGATGTCGAATAGCGTTTTCAGCATGAATTTTAGCTGCTTCCATATTGCCTTTCATTAATGCTTTTTTGACTTTATCACGTTCGATTTTTTCTTGTTTGTCATGTGATAGTGATTGTCTCTCAAGCATTTTTGTTTGCATTTTAAATTGAAATGCTAATTTATCTATGAAATCAATGAAATTTTATATTTAAATAAAGTAGCAAAATATATTTAAGACATACCAGACATATTGATAATTTTAATCTATAGATGTCTAATAAAAAGATCTAAAATTTGAAATACAAAAGCAATTATTCTTTATTCGAATCTAGAAATTACTATCATCTGACGACACCAACATAAGCAACAAAAACCAAGAATTTATACATACAGGGATATGCCGAGACTGTGAGGGAGAGTTACTTGAGTGACTAGGGAAATCAGTGAGCAAAACGAAGCACTGGAAATCTGCTAGAGAAAAATAAAAATAAAGTTTTCAACATTCGGGGTGCATCATTCACTCGGGCATCCCTGTACATAAATATTGTGGAATATAGAATGGTTAGCGCAAGAAAAGAAATAAGCCAATCAAACTAAGAGAAATACAGGTCGCAGAAACAATAAACATTTTGTTTAAACGATCAATATCATAAGTTGAATCCATAAAAGCCATACTTTCCTAAAAACAAATACTGAATGATATTTTGAAATTCAAATAATTTCGAATAATTCATACATTCTTTCTTTCTTTCTTTACAATCTAAAGCGGATCTTACATTATTAAGTAGAACCTGTTTCTGATTTTTCTATCTTTAGAATATATATATGTATCGAAAAGCGAAGTTTCTTTCTTCGAAATCAACTAGTCAAGACAATGACATCAGAATCAGTTAAATATCTCAATCTTTAATATTTACTGTAGAAACAAAGCTATGTTTTAGGAAGTTGACTAAAAACGATATGTACTGTTCAATCTAATTTATTGATAGACAATTAAGCAAGTACTAAATGCTTCTAAAAGTTTCTTTACTCAATATTTCAGAATTTCTATGAACGATTATTTCTGAAACTAAAACTTCAGATAATAGCATTCGACAAAAGATCTATCTAAAACAACACTGGTTTTATATTCGAAATTTACCCATCCTCCATGATCTTTAATCCAGCTTGTTAATCGTTGATTAATATACTGTCCAGTAACGCATGCAATCCGATCTGATATTTCACTGTGTTTTCTAGCAATAAATGTGCTAAATGCTAAAATAGTAATAATTTTTCCCCAGCTGACATTATTATTTTGAATTAGATGATTAAATATTGTTGTTAAATCACCACATAGCAAGTCATCAATAATATCTTGACGATTTTTTTCGTATTTATTAACTTTATTCGATAGGGAATCAAGTTTACGTAGCATACCAGTAAATAAAATTTCGTGCCGATGGATTAAACGGTCAACTTGTTCTTTCATTCGTATATAATTTTGGCTTCGTGATGGAATTTCACAAATAAGTGCCACAACAATGTCCATCGTTTCAGCTTGTATACGACCTTCATCATTCTCATCGAAATAGAGCATGAAAATGGCTTATAACTAATTCCTACTGGAAAACCGAATGAGTGACAATCTTATATGCGTCAGTTTACATTGTGAATCATCACGCTGATAAATATAATTATGATTCATTAGAAAATCTGCTTGTTGTCTATCAAAACAATTCAATTTAACAAAATTTTAAATAAAGATATACAATTATAATGAAAACAAACTCTGAAAAGTATTTTATAATGGATAGATGGATGTACAATCGCTTTCAAGCAAACTAAGATTGGTCGGATAAGAACAAATAGCTTTCTAGGACAGTGATAACGTATCACGGATCGTATTTACTTAAGATTCTACTATTTAACGGATGATCTGTGGTCTGGTGTAACGGATTGGTGTCGTATCATACATTTGTTTCTGAGCTACACTTACTACATACACACGCACTACGAATTAAGATTCTAATTTATTTCCAACTAAAAAACGCCAACTAAGAAATATGCAAAAGGATTTTGGGTTTAATGATAAAAACATATCCCAGGTCGAACATACACGGTCGTATACGACGGTAAATCGCCGTATTTGGCCGTATTACATGGCTCCGTATTACGATCGTAAATCTCCGTGCCGTATACGGCGAAATACGGCGCTTTACGGTCGTTTTTGATCGTATTTCACCGTATTACGACACGGAGATTTACGATCGTAATACGGAGCCATGTAATACGGCCAAATACGGCGATTTACCGTNTTTTCGATGAGAGAATAATCAAAATTTAATTGTTTGAAAAGTTATAATATAAAAATTAAATCGAAGAATATCCGTAGAGATTTATATTAAACTCGCGAAAAAATTCAACGATGTGAAAAAGAATGAAACTGTCACACACATTGATATTGACACGTTGCGATTGGCGTAACCTCAACAATGATGACTCTTTTATACAAAAAAACAATATTCACCCAATATATGTATTTTTTCTCATCATAAAATTGAAAATGCATTATATTTACGTCAGGTTTTATACGCAGAACGCGTGTGTATAATATAATGCATAAGTGTGTTGCATTGCCTAAGTTTTAGAAACGAACGCTTATTCACTGTTCACCAGTCCACGGATCATTAAGACTCTACTATTTAACGGAATATGTATATATATATATATACGATTTTATATAGTCAGTAAATTTTATTCGAACTTGTTCTTGTAAAACTACTTTACAATTTAAATACTATGGCTTGTAATTTGACAAACTTTCTAGGGAAAATAAGACTGAAAAAATGAACCGAAGAAGAATTAGCATAGCTTTCAAAACATAAAAGGTAATTCGAGTTTAGTCTTTGAAATATATTGAGAAGATTTCTAAGCAGTATTTAATCCCTGTGCTTCGTCTGAAGGATATGGTTTGAAGGAATGAAAATATTTTTATTGTCTTAGAAACCTTCAGGAAATGCCATGTACGTTGTTAACAACCACCGATATTGAAGGACTTTCATGAGCCGTAACTTCAACGTAAACTTGTTTCGTCGGAAATTAGTAATAGCACAAAATTACCTGATATTATCATAAGTGGTTGAAAGCAAAAGATTCTATATGTTACTGATTGATTTTAAACGAAATAGAATGTATAAAGAGTAATCACGATTTAGTGTAACTGAATTGTAATGCATTCTCTGATATGGAAGATATAATCGAAATTCTTTTTTCATATTCTGAATAAAACTGAAGATGAACATTAATATTTTTAAATTTTAATGATCAATGGAACTGTTTATCAATTGAATGGCAGCAATGAAGAATTTCTAAGAATAGTTTTTAGTTCATTGAAACTATTTAATTGTATGAGTCTAGATAAATAAAAATTTATCAATCGAAAAAATTACTCGCTTGTATTATACAAACACTTGTTTTACAAAAGAAAAAGATACTTAACAAGCATTAATAAAATGATCTTGTCGGAAAAAATCCGTACTCGATTGATCATCGTCTTACATCATAAGTGTTTTTTTTATGATTTAAATATTCAGACATTCTAAGCATTATTTCTTAAACTATGAATCAACGATCGTTCTATCAAGGACCATGATTTATATCGAACTGATACAACTTAATTACTGCTGAGTCCAATATTCACATGCATATAAAATATGAAAAGATTAAGTTGTGTATATTTATATTTGTTTTCTATATTGACTGTATTTCGTTTTTCTTCTATTGATGAAAATGGGATAGAGAAAAGGAGAGAACGAAAAGGAGACGCAGTTAAAGGTGAATAACATATAACATATAAGTATATAGCATGCGAAAAAATAATCATCGTTAAATGCTGGTTGTTTGTCATCAAAACTAGCAAGCCGAAAATAGCAAGTAACTCATGTCGAAGCAGTCTTTAACTCGAACATGTTCGCTTCGAAAACGAGTTCGACCAATGGCCGATATTTATGAAGAAGATGATAATCAACGACGAGACTTATCTGGTCGAAAACGTGTAGATGTTGTCCAGTGTTTATTAGATTCATCATCCGATGAAGTCGATAATGATCATATAGATGTTAGAAAACCGACGAATATTCTGTGGTTAACATTTAATGAAATTTGCCACATACGTTACGTTCTTGTTCAAACATCTTTAATAACTGATAAGCAATATTCTGATATTCACGATGGTCGTATTTGTTTTCAATGTCGAAAAACTATAAATATTTTCTCTTTTCTATCATTCATTCTTCGTTTTAACAATCATCAAAGATGCTTTATTTGTAAACAAGTTATATGTAAAAGATGTTCGCAATATAATTTTGTACCTCCGTCTTCTAAACTTTCGATTCCAATACGAATACAAAATTTAATTAAATTATCATCAAGAACAACAAATCAGAGCAGCAACGAAAACATAACTAAACCCAATGCGCAAACAAAAACATTGTGTTACGATTGTTTGCAGGTAAAGCAAATGACTAATAATATTTATCATAGAAAACAATTAACTAGTAATATAGACCGACTGGCATGATAAAACTAGAAGTTAATCTATTCACTAGAGTGTAAAGGTTTTCCGTTAAACTAACTTATAATAACAAAATTCATCTAAAAACATCGTTTTCGATCAGTTCAAATTAATTAATTATAACTTCGTATGATTATAGATATTCGACGAACACATGCACACATCTCAACCTCGTAGGATACCACCGATCTCTCCATTACGTCGCACAAACTCTTTGCCGCCTTTGTCTAGTAAAAATTTAGCTGAACATCGGCATACACACCATCGTTGTCGTCATCGTCCAGTTCAAGTAACTAATAGTAGATTCGAAAAAGCAACTATAACTACAACATCACCATTAACAGATCTTTGATTCTTATCTATTTTATCACTAATTTTATTTTATATATAGAACAATAAATCATCAAGCTTAATAGACAGCGATATTCACAATGAAATACAACGAAAAAAATAAAATAAAAGTACTAAAGATGAATTGATTATTTTTGATTTGTATATTTCCTATGAAGAAAAAAAGCAAATCACATTAGATAAAAAGAGGAATACATAAATCAATGAAAATATTTCTACATACGTTACAGCTTTGGTACCCTCTGATACAGCATGTTTTGCAAGTTCACCAGGTAATAAAAGTCGAACAGCTGTTTGAATTTCGCGAGATGATATTGTTTGACGTTTATTATATTGCGCTAATCGTGAAGATTCACTCGCAATACGTTCTAGATAGAAGAAAATATTTATTTGATTTCAAAATTTCAAAATTATATCCGTACCGAAAATATCATTTACGAAGCTATTCATAATCGACATTGCTTTACTCGAAATACCCGTATCAGGATGAACCTAATTTAATAAAATATTCATTTTTCCGTTTTTTATTAAGTAAATTTTTACTTGTTTTAGAACTTTATAAATATAAATCGAATATGATTCTTTACCTGTTTAAAGAAAAAAATGAATAGTTAGCTTGAAAAAAAAAGAGATAAGATGAATACTTACGTTTCTTTTTATTATGTTTCTTTTCAACATTAGCACTAGCACCTGATTTGCTAGCACTACCTTTGGTTGGTTTGCTGATCATTTTAGAACCTTTACTGACTGTTTTAGGAGGCATGTTGAAACTATGAGATAAGATGTAAAATTTGCGCTTTATATAGACACATAGATATTGATATCATTGGTTACAGAACGAAAATAAGAAACTTTTAGAGGTTATATAAAATAAATTTCATTGATTAAAAGTCAGCTGATAATGTAATTTGATAATGATTTGACGAAACGAACGAATAAAATTGGGAAAAAGTTGCAACAGTAATGTGCTAATATAAAGCTCAAAAACAAAAACACGAATATTTATCATTTCAAAAGAAGCAGAAAAAAAATGTCTGGTCGCGGTAAAGCAAGAGGAAGTGGAAAAGCTGGTGTGAAAAATACAACACGTTCGTCAAAAGCAAGTCTTCAGTTTCCGGTGGTATGATTTTCGAATTCTAACGCTATCATCGCAGAAGAAATTTTTGTATAGGGTCGTATTCATCGTTTACTTCGTCGTGGTAATTTTGCTGAACGTGTCGGTGCTGGAGCTCCAGTTTATTTAGCTGCAGTAAGTGAACTAATTAGTCTTTTCGAATTCACCTAGCAGATGTTAAGGTGGATCATTTATTTAAATAGGTTCTTGAATATCTTTCCGCTGAAATTCTTGAATTAGCTGGTAATGCAGCACGTGCTAATAAAAAAACTAGAATTATACCACGTCATCTTCAATTGGCTATACGAAATGATGAAGAATTGAATCGATTGCTATCGGGTGTAACAATTTCACAAGGTGGTGTCTTACCGAATATTCAAGAAGTAACGAAGAAAAAAAAACAGTTCATCATAATGGTAAATTAAAATTCTTTTTTTTTTCTGTAGACATTATTGCCTAAGAAAACAACTGAAATTAGTACATCATCAACATCGCAAAATGATTCATCGAAAAGAAATACATTAAACTCAACCGGTCAAAACAAATCATCATGAACGATAATATGTACTACAGTGAACTTCGCTTTTGTGCTTGTTTTTCTTTTTAGTTTTTTCAGCTTTTCTTGTATTTAAACTTTCAAAATGCACATCAATATATTTTGTTAATCAGAAGCTAAACGATTACTTGACGAATTTCATATGAAATGAATCATGAGGAGTACGACAACAACATCAAAACTAAATTATCCGATGCAGCCAATACGTTATTCGAATTATAGCAAAAATAAAAAGCTTACGACACTCGGTATTCCCAGGCGGTCACCCATCCAAGTACTAACCGAGCCCGACGTTGCTTAACTTCAGTGATCGGACGAGAACTGGTGTATTCAACGTGGTATGGCCGTAAGCGAACATCACGTAAACAAAAATTGATCTCATGCATAGAATCGACACTTTTATGGTGTAAAGAGGCACTATATACTCTACTCTGTGTTTCAAATACTGAATTATTCATGTCTTGTAACGATTCCCGGACCGAAAAAGTCAATTCTAAACAATGTTACGGTTAAAAACCATCAAAAAAAATATCAGGACTATTTATATAGCTGCAAAAAGTAAAAATAATTCTATTTTATTTTAAATTGAAGTGCTTAATAGAAATAGAAATATCAATAAAATTGAATAACGTTTCTCGGATATTCCTTGATTTATTTTTTTACATGTTTCTAAATCTTTATTACATCCATCGACTGCACACATACAAACATCATCATCTAATTTACATTGTGAAAAATGAATACTATCAGGTGTCGATGCAAATGCCTTACAATATTGTGTTTTATATTTTATTAAATAAGCTGAATAAATTGATGGAATCCAAGATTGTCTTGCCGTTTGATTTGTTTGATCAACACTAATCACACATAAAACAGCATTGTCCAGTAAGTAGTTTTTACATGTATAATCATGATGCGGGCATAATGGTGCTAAACTTGCAGATTTTTCTTGTTCCGAATCGTCATTAGGTGGCTGACATTTAACTGATTTGGTTAATTGAACAATTGTGTTAGTAAATAACGATGATTTTTGCATGATAGTATGGTTTACTTCGTGAATGCATTGCGCATAATTAAAATTGCATATACTTGTTGTACATAAACAAGCACGATAAGAACCGCGTAGATAACTATATGGTGAAGCTATACAAAAATCGTCAAAACCACTGAGAGTATCGCGCGGATAATAACGGCATTCACGTACAAGACTTTCATGGTAGCCTTCGACTTCATTAACTTTTAGGCAAGTATAGGAAAAGCTTGCTCGTCCTGCACCAGCTAATGAAAGTTTGGTTTCGATAGCATAGTTACGAGATGCAACAAGACATGCTTCACAATCGAATAATATAGTTGTTGTTAATGGTAAATCATGTTTACATGTAAGATTTCGAGAAGGAATACGATCTTCAGTAGAAATAAACAGACCCGATGAGGTTCTAAGATACATTATTACAAAGATGAGCAGCATCGTATTTGAAGGCCGATACATTGAAATTGTTAATATAACGAATGAAGGTTGTTGTTTTTTTTTAAAGAAGCAAAAAAAAGTAAAATAAATTCATCGGTCAATATGTACTTTTATTAGGTTGGATCAAAATTTAAAAATTTAAATGAGTAGCATTTCAGGCATAACAGATATACGTAAATCATAAACAAAAATGTGCACAAATATCTGTTCGGAATCAAGTTAAAATTCATGTTTTTAATTTCTCTCAAGAATAATTATTAAAATAAATTCTTTTACTCAATATTGTTCAAGTTTTTAATTAGTAATTTTAATATTGAGCCGTTATTTCTGTTGTTTGACTTCATGCCTATTACAATACCAACAAAAGTAAAAATGTACATGACTCCTTACTTTCTTTTCTTTTCTTTTCTTTTTATCAATTCACAAAAGATTGAGTCTTTAGTTATCATTTTATTAGGTGAGCAAATAGAAGCAGTGAATTTGTCTGAATAGGCACCAAAGAAAAAAATATACATAAGGCCTGCTCCAAGGTAAATTTGTATATTTGATCAAGACGTTTTCACTATTTGAATTTGAATAACTTTTATTGCTTATAAAGAATCGAACTAATTATAGTAATAGTATAGTTTTATTTATCTATAAGTTTTTCATATTGATGAATGTCGCATAAAATATAGTTTGTTTATGAATAACGTCTTAAAAAGTATAGTTATTTGTACTTGAATTGTTTTTACATTGCTACAAAGAAATTAGCTCATTTTTTTAATCATTCTAATTTGGTAACGAAAAAGATCAAAACTATATTAAAAAACAGATCGCGCTGTAGAAGAGGAAGAAGAAGTCGTTTGTTTTCCATTAGGATCATATGATATAACAAATGAACTACTATTTGTTAATGCACATAGTTGATAAAAATCTGGATTATGTGTTGGAACAATCAGATCAGATGATGGCGATCCTAATGTTTGTTCGTTATGTGTTGATGAAAATAAAGTCGTCGTTCGATCCAGATCATTTTCTTGTAATAACCACGGATATTCATAGATCTGTTGAAGTAGAATTTGACGTTCGATTGCTAATTGCTGATTATAATTTTCATGATGAATATAATTTTCTTCGCTAGGACTTGTCAATGATTGTTGTCGTTCATTAAGAAATTTTCTTTGTTCAGCACAAGTATTTGACCAAACGTGTAATTCACTGTCAGAACCATACGTATTCATTAGATTTATTTCAACGGAATGTTCATTTATTATATTTGAATGGTAAACATGATATTGATTTTCATTTTCATTGATATAAAATTTTTTCTGTTGTAAATCAGAATCCGATAAAACTCGACGAAAGAATACTAAACGATTTAATAGACCAGGAAATAAAAGACGCTTTTGAGGTTTTAATAAGAGTTTTCTATTTATTATTGCTGTTTCATAGGATGCTGAATCATCATCACTACTTGTACTATCGTTTTCATCAATAAAATTATCTTCAATGTAATCGGACATATTACATGTCGATGATACTGAACTTGTTGAATCATCTAGATCATCGATAATAATTGGCAATGTTGATTTAATAACTACTTTTTCATATGTTTCAGAACGACAAAATGTTGCTGCTGCTGTTGTTGGTGGTGGTGGTGGAGTTACTTGTTCTTTTGATTGAGGACTATCAAGACTGTCAAGTGAAATATCTTTACTTGAAGATGACATTGTTGTCGATGTAAGAGTAGTAGATGTATCATCAGTATAAAAATTATCCATAGGTGAACATATATATGATGAAGTTTTTTCATCATGTTTGTTGTTTTCAACTAAAAAAAAATGTGGAAACTTCGGATTTCATTCGAGAGTTATGTGTACTGCAAAAAGTGCATGCGACATATGAGTCATTCTAGAATGTCTGAACACGAAAATTATCATGAGAAACTAGGCAATTTGATTTCTGGATGCAGTTTTTGTGCATTTTGAGACGTTTTTCAGGCGATGTTTCGTTAGAAAGCTATGACTTAGTTCAAAACTAATATCAGATTTAGAATCAGCGTTAAAAACTGACTCGATTTTTATATGCTGTTGATAATTCTGAGAAAAAAAAGGTTTTTTTGAAAAATCTCTGTACCCCTCCTCAGGGATGGTCTGGTCAAAAATGACAATTTTTTCGACAACTCAGCCATTTCTTGACGGATCCTTCTCATCTTCGAACTCGACCTAGATATTGATGAGATAATTCTGTGCACAAAATTTCAGCTCAACCGAATGTAATTGTGAAGAGTTATCGAATAAACGGACGGCCGGACGGCCGGACACACTGTCCGATTCTATAGTGTACTCTTTTCTTTTTGAGTACACAATAAACGAAAATATGACGTTATATGTTCTTCTAGCATTTTATCGAATATAATATAGATGCAAATTTTTTCATGCATTGATTAATACGATTCGCTGTTTAATATTTGTTAACTCAGGAGATTTACAGGTAAAGAGTTTTTCTCACTTAAAAATACGGACTCATATTGACGATGTTTCCCTTTTCTGCTGCCTCATTGCACTAATAAACACAATAAAAAAATTATTGTTTACGGTTCAGAAGACTAAAAAATAACGTACCGCCTCATAACAAAAATTTGTTTTTTTTAACGCGCACTTGCCGGTACAAAAAATAGAACCCAACACATTGGTCCAATTAATTTTCAACCATACGTTATTTAACTGAAAATTAGTTACACAGTTCGATGCTATAAGGGCAACAAGACAAACGGAAATAATTCATTCCATACTTCTTAGCGAAATAGTTTTTCCAGCTTAAGTTCCTATGTAATTATTTGTATATTTTTAGCTATTTTATCAGATAAAGCAATAATGCTATGCTTTCATGTCAATTATACGAGAACGACTAATATGAATTCAATCATGTAGCTATTTGTTCGCACTACTTCCAGCAAAACAAAAACCAACTAACTATAGATAAACCACATCAGATTGGCAATCAGACGATATAGTCATTGGTACAAGTAAACTACTGGCGGTGGCGATTTTTGTTTTTTAGTTCGAGGTACACGAGACATAACCATAAGCACTAGAATAATTCATTTGTAAAGCATTAGCTATATAATATGCATATATATATATACGTATATATATAACCTAAATGAATTTCTAAAGCCAATGGATAAAAATCCCTCTCCCTGCCGTCACAGATATGACCGATATGTGCGGTAGCGCCTCATTAGAAACGACACAGACATTGTTGATATATCACCATCATAGACCGTACATAAATAATGTCTCGCTCTAATACATGAACTACTTCCTTATTCCATTTCTGGTCGATTAACCAAAAGGATGATGAAAAAAATGTGTGTAAAAACAGATAGAATAAATAATCTCCCAGTGATGAAAAAAGGCAGCTATATGATGTTTTGTATTTAGTCCTGCAGGGATAATAATAACAACATTCTTATAGCGATTTTCGTTGATCTTGGAAAAATTCATATTTTAATTATCTTAGAAGAACTTTCAATCTAAACTATACCTTCGTGTACCGGTTTATTCAAGCATGATCTTTTCGATGTATCAAGCCAATTGTTAACAAGTCCAATATTTTCTTGTTTATCATTATTTTCAATTTTCTTTATAGTACGTGCTATTCCATCATCTTTTACATCAATCGATGACCATGTAGAATATCCTTCGTCTTGTAGAATAGATAAGAGTTTATTAATATTTTCTTGTTCTTCAATACTCGAATCACTGGATGCTGAGTTCACGTGTTGAATAGGAGCATTGGATTTGGCTAGTTCAATGTTTACTTTGGTAAATTTATTGCTTGAACCTGTTGTTTTAGTAGTACTTTTATCAGAGACTGTAGTCACACGAGATCGAATTTTATATGGTGGCGGTTGAATTGTTGCAGGTGGTCGTATTGTTTTCTTTAATATCATATTTTTATTATTCGTTAGAGGAACCGAACGGTTCGCTAGTGAATTTACATTAGTCTTTGTTTTTGTCATCGTAGATATAGGAATATTTGATTTTTTCAATGAATTCGATTGTTGATTTACTACTGGATTTGTTGTTCGAATCGGTAGCTTTGACACTTTTTGTATTAACGATGAAGTACGATTATTGTTTGATGCTTGTGCTTTCGAGTTTAAGCTCCGTAAAGATAGTTTTGAAGGGCGATCAGGCGGTGATTTTGTTGGAACTATTGTTCGAGAGATAAAAGAATGTTGACTATTAGGATCGTTCACTGTCATCAACAAAGATGAAGATAATTCTTCTTGGGGTAATTTTGAAACTGTAAATGTTTCGGAACGTTGAAGAACTTGTTGCTGCTGTTCTTCTTCTTCTATAGCGAAAGCAGAAGTTAGGTATTCATTGTTCGTTATAAAAAAAATAAAAATTAACCTTTTAACTGTTTTGAAAATAAAATTTGATCTTTTGTACTTTTATTCTCAAACGACTATAAAACGAGAGACAAAAAATACATTTGAAAATGTTGACATTGAATAGACTTACTCTATCATGTGTCGAACTATTCGATGTTGATAATGAAAAATTAACTATTGATGATGAATTGGATGATGATGATGATGGTGGTGGCGGTGGTGAATGAATTAAATCTTTAGTTAATTTTGGTATTTTTCGATGATTTGAACAACATTCACACGATTTATTTAAATTTTCCCAAGATAAACTTTTCTTTCTTTGTTTCATTATCAATTCAAAGGGATCTTTAGTTTGAACGGTAGTTATTGTTAAAATTGATAATCGTTCAATTATATGATATATGGATGCGCATTCTTCACGAATATTCTAAAATCAATCGGGAATAAAGAATTTCTCTTTTTTTTTTTGAATGGGTGAATAAACACGAGCAACGATCCTATTGATCGACTATTCGATGTTTAATCTACTCAAGGTCTCAATGAATTACTTGGTGGAGATCTATGTCCGAATCTGTCCCTCTCTCTATTCAGTCATGTAGAATGAAAAAGAATGCATCTGTTCTTGAGTTGTCTATATTATTTACAGTTCATTAATGAAGATCAAGGTGAATACATGAAAGAAAAAGAAGAATCTCTTGGGGAACAATAACATTAAATTTGATCATCCTGTGAGATGGACATGGCATGATTATTTATTCAAACAATGATACTATGACCTGTCTGGCGATAGACAGTAATCTCAATCCTATGTGATCCCTTTGACAAAAAATATTCTAGAAACAAAAAATGAAGCTGTTTGGTCGGCACTATGTGAAAGATTGCTCTAATTGTCTTTTTTTTCTGTCCTATTGTATTAATCAAACGTCCTTGTATTAAATGAAAGAAAAATGTGAAAAAAAGCAGACAGATAATTTCTCGATTCATTTATTATTTTGATAGGAAAAGTGAAAAAAGAAAGAAAAGAATCAACGCTGATGAGCTCTTCAATTGTATCCGCTTTTACGTCATAAATAAAAACTACTATCATTGATTGTTGATCGCACATCATTAGCTATCATCAATACAAAGGAATGAGAAATAAATGTTCCAAAACATATGTTGCAACAGTCTGTTGAAATAGTTTCTATTGATAAAAGAAATCATTATGAAGCGCGTTATGAAAATCAAAACTTTCTTTTTTCTTTTTTTGACATTAATTAGCTATAGTTTGTCTTTGTATTTTTTCTTGAATCAAAAATAATTGGAAAAAACACAACAAAAAATATAAATAAATCTCAGTTGTTCTCTTACTTCTTGCATAACCGCTGTTTGTATCACCATTGTTGTTAGTTGATCAAGAAAACGTTCATATTCTTGTCGTTGACATCGATTTTCAACAAATAATCGTTCATTTTCTTGTTCAAGTTGTCGAATATATTCCTCAAAAAAATGTGTTTGCTGAGTTCTCAAACTTGTCTTATACTATTATTAATTGATACATAGAAGAAAAAGAATAAAAACATGCATGCAATAATAGGAAACGCAGCTGGGCTTATTTTTATTTACCAATGCCTCGAGCTGATCAATACGCTTGTGTAATTCAACATTTTCAATTTTGAGATGTAACATACACTCATCAAATTCTCGAATCTTCGCCTAGAAAAGTTATAAGAATAACGTTTCATAATAATAATAATAAGAAATAGATTCTATGTTACTTCAGATAACGATGGATCTTGAAGTTTGTTTTTCAATCTTACTAATATACTCATGATCGTTAATTGCTAAACAATTATCATGACTAAAATAAATGCAATAGGATCAATAAATATATATATATATACATGTAAAAGAATAAAAAAATTGAGCCCAAGATCTTATACACTTTTGTATATAACTGATTTCATTGAATATGCAAAAGAAATAAAAGAATTAATCTGATGAAAAAATCAATTCAATCACATTTACTATGACGTATTGGACTAAGCGTATAGAAATCAATCAGAACAATTGAAATCTTTAGAGACTAATCAACTCTAATCATTTTCTACTCTTGAAAGTTAAGGAGACGAACAACGATAGGTTTTTTTCTCTCTCTCTCTCTTTTTCCTTTGCGATTCTTTATCGTCTACCTCTCGCCATCTTATGATTTGGATTGTGCAATCATGAAGTAAAAACCGGAAAAGAAAAAGAGCAGAGTGTCAACTAAGGAAACATACTACAAGAGAAGGCTAAAGGCGATCTATCAGAAAAAGGTATGAAGAAAAGAAACGAAGAAGAAATTCTAACACCTACAAAAAAGAAAAAGAAAATGGCCAGATGAACGACGAACGAAATAATCACTTTCTTTATCTACTAATACTTTTATTTTCATGTCCACTTGATTGACATAACATCGTCAAATGAATATTTAGTATATAGAAAACAAGAGTGTTGTGTAAATTTTTTTCTTCCTCATTATGTAATTGATGTATTTAGCGTATGTAAACTCTAGCCTAGATTTATTTCATCAAACATCATAACAAAATGAGTTCGCCTATCGTACAATAGAAAGAAACTAAGATATTACTTTCGCTCACCTATTGTCGTGTACTCGATTATTACGATAGTAACATTATTTTTATTACCTTCTAAAGATAGTTGATGAGTATGACAAAAGACTATACGCATTTGTCTATATGTTCGATCAATAAAGAATGTTGCTTCTTCTAATCGCGTGCTCTATCATCATCTATGTATCTATCTATCTATCAATCATTTTCTTATATACCGTTTATAGGAGAACGACAAATGTCTATGCCATTTAACTGGCAAACATAACTATTTCTACTTTTCTTTCTTTTTTCTATCATTTGTTATTCCTTTGATAGAACAAGGACAGAGATATAAAAAGAATGCTTCAATGGTATATTATCATCTTAGAGTGCGTGCGTTTTTCTCATGGAAAAAAATAGTTCCATGTCGGTAATTATTGTATTTTACCTTGTCTTTTTTAATCCATCTAGATTACTGTGTAATTGATTAATAAAGTGTTAGCAGACAGTGAATATGATGAGTACATTTATTAATAGCGATAGTTACCTTTGTTTAATTCTTTCATTGGTTTTTAAATCAATGCGAACATTGATGCCTTTTGTTCATTTTGTGATAGGAAAAAAAATTATCCACTTATGAATGAATCGATTCAAGGTTACTTCGTGCCAGTGCTTGTTGGAAGAGAGAGAGAGAGAGAGAGAGAGAGAGTGAGAGCGATAGAAAAAAATATACATGTATCGTTCAGCGAGTCAGTGTCCATTGTTTGACCTCGTCGAATAGTAATTATTGAACATAGACATATGCCAAGCGAACTCGACAGAACATAACCACCAGCTGTGCGTTCTTTAAATCACAATGACGAATTGAACACTGAAGAACAAGAATGAAAAGAGACGAGCATAAGTCCAATGGAAAAGAAGAAAAAAAGTAATGGATACTTGCCAAGATTAACAGATTAGACTACAGACTATTGATATTTATTGTTTGAATCAGATAAATATGCTTGAATGATAATAACAAATATGAAAATGCTTTTTTTATGAGGAAAAATGATGTTTATTTGTTAACAAAATCAAATAAATAATTATCTATATATTTTTTATGCTAGTCGAAGGATAACACATAATGAAAGCAAGAACATATACATAGCACACGAAGGTCAACTGTATATGTGTTCAGCAGCTGTATGATTGAAAGGAGACAATATTTAGTTGAGCTAATCAAACTGTCTTTTTCTTCTCATTAGTTGAGACTTCAGCGTCATTATAATACGCTTTGGTGATATTCAAAAAGAATCGTGGTTGTTCTATATGTTGATGCCTGTTTTGCTTAGTAACTTACTTAATTGACAGTGGCGTATTAGTATCCATCATATATCAAATAGAAAACAGTTGCTGATAATATGAAGATAAATACTGATAACATACTCTGAGAAAGTAGGAATACTATAATGACGTTCTAAATGATATTTAGAAACAACAATGCACTATTTGCTTCTAAAAAAAAAGATATTAAAAAAGGAATCTGGTTTTTACAAATTGGCAAAAGCAACATCATAGATCCAATCATGTATTAATGATGACAAAGTGTTTTATATTATTTGAGTATCTGCTCGAAAATGTTGGGTAAACAGAGTATACGTTTCAATGTCAATAGTTTGATGCAACCGACAAAGACTTGGAATACTAATACAAAACACAAGTACTATAAATATTTGTTATCATGTGCGAGCCTAATACTAAGATCTATCGAATATGGTGGATCTCTGGTGAATTCATTCAAATAGTAAACGTTTCTTGTTGATGTATTGATGAAAAAAACAACTGTACTATCATTTAATCAGTATATAGATATCTAAAATATTAAATTTTATTATCAATTAGTTCGATTAGAAGGATTTCTTTTGGTAGTTCGAATATCATATTATATTCATTTTTTTTCTTGATTTTTCAATAAATATCGAATTGAATGAAGCGTTAACTCCACTTGTATGCTTCTCTCTATCGTTTTTACAAGCGGATCATATTTCCCGCTGTTCTAGTATCGCAGTAAAATTATATTGAGAGATCTCTAGTAACAACTATTGGTTTATTTACAATATTTGTAAACTATATATTTCATAAATTTATAATAGTCAGAATTTTTGTGATTAGTGTACATTGACACCTATGGATGGTATATTAAAGAAAGATTCTATTGTTGGGGTGTGGGTGTGGGTGTGAGCATAGAGAATGCTGCAAAAAAAACTCACACCCACACCCACGCCCACGCCCATACACCCACATCCACACACCCTCACGGCAGCTGGGAGTCCTTCGCGATATATGGTAACAAAAAATACTAAATTAGATTTGTAGGAATCAGCAACTTTCGATCCTTCCGTTGTCACAAAGGATGATACATACTTTGTGTTGGTAGTACGTTAAACTGTTTGAAACATCCTTTAGAACAACCAATAACGATGATAGTTATTAGTTTTTCTTGCCATAATGGTTTGGTGGCGCTCTGAAAAGATCACACTGGGTTACATTACTATTGGTACTATATTTGACTGATACCACTAGCATTACCAAAGACTCAATGAAAAAAGTATACATCGAAGAAATCACAAAGAATATTTTACGATAAGTGCCCCATTATTTTAGTAATCATGCATTGAACTAGGAACAAAAACAAAAATGATTAACATTTACTTATGTGTATTACAATCCGAAACTAAACGGTAAAACTATGGTTTATGTGCCGCTTTGCAGAGTAAAATATCTGTCTCATAAAATATAATATTAGAGTATCAGAACCATTGTTTTCTTATCATCATCACATTGTTGAAAATACATTTCGTATGTAATGTAACTTTTAAAAAATGCTAACAGTTTGACTTGGATGAAGACGACAGTGTCATCCCTTAATACATGTTATGAAGGGTGTGGGGGTGGGCGGATCATACGAAGACTAGTCCCACACCACACACCCACACCCTTCTTTCGCGGAGAAAGGAATAGTTTACTATCTTGTATTTCACATTGGTTGGAAAAGTATTTTTGACCTGAGGTGCACTCTTCCGGTGGTTTTTATCATTTTTGACACCGATGAATCTAGTGTTCAACCCACTTCATTAAGAGATAAGTCGATCTGTTTGTCAATTGATTTTTGAATATTGATGATTGTATCTTGAATTATTTCATTCATGCGTATGTCGGATGGAAAACCGGATGGAATAAATTTATCAATTAAATGGATTTTTTCCAATGTGTTTCCTGCATCAAAAATAAGAAAGTCCGCTAGACGGTTATGAGGTTACTATTCCTGCGATACTTTTCTACTTTTCATTTTTCTAAGATAATTTTCGATGTCAACAAACTATGCTACAGATTTCACAAATGAATTCATGACCAGTTATCAAAATACACTGAATAATCTGAAGTAAAAGAGAACCAATTCAAAAATTCAGCTGCCTAATAGAGGGTGTCCAAAAACATGTTTTCTCCCGAGGGATAAAGCTCCAATGTCAAGAGATTAACGAAATATAATTCCAAGAGATGAAGTTTCCCACTAAAAAACAATTTATCCATGATGATTATATTAAATTAAAGACTCTGAAATGTTCAGTTAATGTAAGTAGCTTTGATATTTTTGCATGTTCGGGGAACTTTCGGATAGCAAATAAAACATAGTGACTTCTACGCCTATTTCTTGTTTCTATTGTTCTGTGGTGGTTTATTGAGACGCTTTTCGAATGAGAACTACAAAAAATGACAACAAAAGGAAAAATCGCAGTCGTCACAATTCAAAGCACTCTTATTGGTTGTTCAGAAAATAGTCTTGTTTCTATAAAAGTTTTCAAAATTCCCGTAATGGCATAGCAAGTCGGTGAAGTGCGAGAAGATGTCGAATACGTATCTATATTCTAGCTTTGTTCGTTTATTGACCACTATAACTATCATGGTGACTCGATCTTAGCCTATACCAGTCAGATTCGTCGGATTATAAATTTCTGTTTTTCATTCTCTAACTAGAATTCTCCGCTGCTCTCTTACTTCTAGTATCTTCAAACACTTATTAAGTCTTATTTTTATTGAGGCATGACTTATTTTTACCATCTAATTCTCGTCGCTGATCAATAGTAGTAATGGCATCGTAATACTTGGAAATTTTTGGGTCGCAGTTAATTTCTTTTCGGTTCATTCGCAGTTCAATATGTAAATTCAAGAGGCGAAATTCAATGGCTCTTTGAAAACAAAACGTTGCGAAATCATCATTATTGATAATAACATTAGCCAATTCTTCATAAGTGTTAGCTAGATCTACGTATATAGGATCTTCTTGATGTGCCGTAAGACTTTCGTTCTCTATTTCAAGTCGTTTCCAATTAATGTGTTTCGACCAATTATTAAATGATCTATGAAATGATTTCAAAGCATCAATAAGTTTATTTTGTTTAACATATAAAGTTCCCAGTCGTCCATAGGAAATAGCAACGTCCTTACATGTCGATTCATATACATCTTCTTCTTGAGAATATTCGATATGCATTTTTTGACGATATTCAATTGCCTGATCAAAATCATTTTGCTTCTCGAAAGCTTCAGAACATTTTTTGTAGCAGTCAGCATTCGAATCTAAGTCGTCCACTACTATTTGAATGGCCTTCTGATAGCATTTTATCGCGAGATTTAGCTGACCAATTTCTTCGTAATGATCCCCAATATCGAGGTATGCAGAACGGACGTGATTTTCGTAATTATCAATATCACTGATAGCTACGAAATCTGTGAACTTCTCGTATTCACACAAAGTATCGACGCTGATGGTTTTAGTTTCATCTCCACATGATGCTACACCTACACTACCGAATACATTGTCCTCAGATGACGAGATGTCTATATTGTCCAAAACTTCTTTGCATAGTTGCCATGCTTTGACGTAATTACCATTCATCTTATGTATACTAGCTACATTAACTTTACGAGCCAATGCACTTATTTTATCCGAATCAATATTTTCTGCTAAACTGAAATAGTTTAACGCGCGCGTTAGCTGGATATTACCAATATTAATAATACCTAAACAGTCGTAGATGCATATTTGCATTTCATTTGAAAGAACATCTGGAACCATAGTTTGGTCACGTAATGCTTTCAATGTCTTTAGCTTAAATTTTGTGTCATCATCAGTCACTTCCGAATTCATTTTACATAGTACCATGTATTGGTCAAATAAGGAAAGTTCATGTAAAAGTGACTCAAAATCACTCTTCATTGTGTCACTCATTGGTATTTGATTGTCGACAGATAGTTTTATTTTCTTCGCGTCATTGTCGGTCTGAATAAATTTTTGTTCCAATAGTGTCTCTAATTTTAATATGCGTCGATCCAAGTCAAGATTCAGATCGACTAGTAATGTATCGATTTTTAAATTTGCAACCCATACCTTCTCATTGTCATTGTAAAATAGTTTTTGAAATAAAAACATCGTTCCAGGTACGAACATTACTTCTTCTTCGTCTTCATTGGCACTTCTGTCTTTAATATTTGCGAACGTCTGTTGTTCAAAGTTGCATCCGTTGCAAGAAATTTGAAATAACACGGGCTGCAAATCATCGTCAAGTAAATGCTCTGAAGCCCCTGCGCCTGAAAAAATCAATGCTAATCCACGCTGAACTGTAGTAGAAAAGAAACTATTCGCAGATAATATACTATGTAAACTAAGCTTCAATGAATTCAGTTCTTGTTTGGTCATTAACTGTCCGCGATAAACTTCTGTCGTCCATCCTTGTTGCGACTGTATTAGGCAGTCTGATCGTAGTTTTTCATATAAATCAACAATAAAAAAATGCATTAACCAAATTAAATCACGATTTTTTTGACGAAAAGCTTTGTTAAGTAATCTATAGAGAAAATTATCCCGTGTGTACCAAAATATTGCATTTTCAGGTTCATACCATTCTTCAAATTCCTTGATTTGCTGTGATACTGTAGTGTTATTCTTGTAAAATGCTGTACATTGAGAAACAAAAGTTTGTTTACTAGTTGATATTGGTTTTAAATGTATTACAACTTGCAGAAAATAGTGAAACCATTCTGTGTTTAATCTATTCTGTACTGTTCGCTCTTCGCTGATCGGTTTGAATACGTAAAGTAATTCAGGATTAGTATGATGGTTGAACATATGTAGATGTCTTGATAAGTCCAAAATGATTTTCTCCATATTTTCATAAATACCTTTCAACTAGGAAAAGAAGTGAATTTTTAAAGACTACTTTATTTATCTATTTAATATCAGATTTTGTTCAAATTCGTCAAAAACATAAGCCAGGAAAATGTTTCGAAGCTGTCAAACATTTATTCGGAGTTTTAAGCTTTGAATTTACCTTTTTGTGTCTTCTTAGTACCATTTCATCTAATGTGTAAGCATTATTAATATTTTGTTTGTAGACGAAAACAAAATAAACTTGTCTATAATCATGTATTCGAGCAATAACTTCTGGTGTAGCAGATGATGCTTCTGTTATAATGAATATCTTTTCATTTTTCACTTGTCTAATAAAATCTTCGCATTTCTTTATTTCGGTAAATAATAATAGATAGTCCACAATACGACGAAACTTAATATCGGAAATAAGAGTGTTATGAACTATGGTGTCAGCATTACTAGCAACCCAGGCTATAAGATATTCATGACCCTCTTCGAATTCAAATATATCAGTGTTATCCACATGTGAACGTTTCAAAGTAGTTGGAATAGAAGATGCAGATAAAGCTATTGTAGTGGCCATATGCAATGCTTTTTAAGATTGAAAATAAATGATTATGGCGTGCAATCGAATAATGGGGCTGGTTTAATAAATAGCTATACTACTTCAATAATTGCAATATATGACTTCCTACATGTATTTGTTATTTTTTAGTTTGCCATAACAGCCGTTGCCGTGTTCTTTTCTCATCATGGCGCTACGTAGTTACATGCGTGTGCAGTTAATAGCGTCGCACATGGCGAGACAATAAAATGCAACGAAAGTACAACCGAAGAAAAGCTAATAATAGTCAAAATTAACAAAACTGAGAGTCGAGATAAAGAAAGCTACCAGAGCAATCTTTGTAGGACTAACATACAAAACGCTATAAGCCTGTTTTATAAAGCGTAACCAATGTTGATGTGTGCTTGTGGAGTTATGAACAAATGAACAAACCTCTAAACAATTGAATAATAATGGATATCTTTTGTTTTGATTTTTTAAAGCTTTTTCTAATGTTTTATAAGTAAAAATGAACAATAAGCTAAATTTGAATATAGTTAAGAAAAATAAAGAATAATTGTATGAACTCTTTGGAATAATTTTCCTGCATAAAAAATGAACAGCATTTATTGTATGACTTGAGACAAAAGAACTTTTTGTTTAAAAAGCTAGTCATGGGTGTGAGTGTGAGTGTGTCTAGCCTTATCCTAATGCACACCGGCGTCCACAGTCACACCCACACCCCATGCCCACTGAATCCAATATCGTTTATGTTTAGTACATCGAGTCAATAGGAAATTCTGATTAAATTTTTATTCTTTAATAATGACAATGCTTGACGTGCACAACAAAGCAGAAAGGAAAACATATATAAAGCTTGTGAATAAGATTATACGAAAAACGATGGATGATCGATATATGCTGATGGTATATATTTATCTAGAACAGAAATAATATTAAAGTTGATTACATGTTTCATCCTACTAACATTTTTGATTTTCAATTCCCAAAATAGAAATGAACAAAAATATTTACTGATTCTCAAATATAGAGCATTTAAACTAAGAAAACTTTTGGAAGGAGCTTCTATCTGAATAGCAGATATTTTTACTCGGAAACGCTCTTGAAATGTTCAGTAAAATCTACGTAGTTATTGCAATTGAATGAGCAAACCCAATCATACTTTATTACTGATTGTTTCAC